TTGAATTTTTCAGTCCATCAGATAAGTATACAGCTTATCCATTTGACAATAAATATGAGACTGATAATTACAAACAATACAAAACTCACTGGTTTGATAAGCATTGTTAAGCGGAACTTTAACATTTACTTCTCCCACTGACATACTGTGAAAACTGTTATTACGGCTGCTGGTTGTGGTCATTTCAGTTGACACTCGGTTTGGAACTGAAAACAGACGATATTGGAAAGAGATATCTATAAAAACTGTGCACAAAGACAACAACCAGAAAAACTGTTGAAAGCTAAGTAAAATAAGACAATGATGTGCGTGATACAGTGACAAACACCATACCAAAGACAGACAGAAAACCAAAGACCCAGATGTAATTTATCTTGCATACATGTTAATTCATCCATGTGTCAGTCAGGCAAGAAGGTGAATATCTGCCATCACGACAACAAGTTATGTTGAAATAATTTAATCCAAACAAAGATACTAGAGGCTATGAATATTATTTTAAGAGAAGACATTTTTTGATGCAATATTCTTTTGTTGATCAGAGGACTACTGATTAAGAATGCATGTTCTACATCTGGCTGTACGATGAAAATGTTTTACAACCTATCACTTTGATTTTCTCTTACCTTTTGACGAAGAGTTGAATGTGGAGCTGTCTTTGGGTTTTGGACAGCAAGGCAAACTTCTCATCCACATCATACGAACATCATGCTTCAAGAAACAATGGAATATGAATACAAAGAGTCCTTGCAAGGAGTTGAAGATGGCAAACAAATAGTGGAATACTATGAACTTTGCACTGAAGGTAAAGAAGGCAAAAACCCAAGTCAACCCCAGCAAGGCCATGATGCCCAGGGCTCCTCGGACTTGAGACACCGAGGATGCCTTCTGGGTCTTGGTGATCTTTTTCTGTTGGACATGGCTCCGGACCTGATGAAAAACTAACCCAAACGCCACAAAATTTATGACCACTGTCACAGCCACTGGGGTTATCACAGTCACATACATGGGTATAACTGTAAGCCAGCAGCTGAAAGAAATGAAAAATAAAAATTAATTGTCCAATCTTCTAAATTACGTTTACTCTTCAAATTAAACACTCTGAGTCAAACAAATGTTGACCTTTTGAGAAATAAAATGCTCATCCAAACTGCATTGAAACCATAAATTTTTCACCTTTTCTGCATTGTTTGCAAATGTCTTAAAACATTTATCCATTAGAAGATATTTTGGCAATTCTCTTTAAGTATTTAAATTCAATTTGCACTTTCATTTTTGTCTTTCGTAGACACTTCAATTTTGACTAATGGTATCCTCATGATATTTCTTTTTTCAACTTAATGTCCTCATATTGATTTCAAAACAAAATAATTACAAAGCCTCCTCATATCCTGTGTAGTAGTTGTAGTTGTCTATGTTGATGGCCAGTGTGATTGCTACTATCACCAGTGGAACACCTGAAGCATTTGAGAAAATCCTAAGTCATTGAATCTTGTTGTATATACCCATGGACCTAAATAGAGAAGGCTTCTCTAGTTAGGTCCAAGATATACCCAATGAAATAACAGTAAGTGGGATGAATAGGTCAAAAGTTATTTCTTGCATGTGAACTTTTTGTCATTTTAATTAAGAGGTTCAGTGTTAGTTACTCTAGTTGGTAACTGAATACATTGTCTTTCCTGCTGTGCTAGTACGTTTTAGCTCCTATTACATAGCTATGGTTTCACTTAATTCTGAATACCTTCCTGAAAAAAAATTATTTGCCATCAAGGCCAATTTTTTTTTCTGGGGAATTTTTCAAAATAGATTTGAACATGAGAACAACTAGGAATTGTAAATAACATGATAAATCAGAAAATATTTTTTTAAAATCCCACTCAATTCTCAAGTTGGAGAGCTTCTGGCATTATTACATCACTGAACATTCTACAGACAAAGTAGTTACATTATTTACCCCAGCCAACTATGGCAAACTTGAGCAGAAGCTTCCTGTAGTAAGTCTGGAAAACTTTCACCAGAGCCAAGTACATGTAGAAAGCTTCTATCAACATCCACATCAGAGTTGCCAGCAAGAAGTAGTGGAGCAATATGGCAACAGTCTGGCAAGCATAAAAGAAATATCATTGAGAAAATGCTCTTTAGTTGGAATCTGGTTATGGGAAGGGTGGGCCCCTCCCTGTTTATCTATTGGATGCTTTGAGAAGTAAAGAAAAACACACAATGATACTATGAATCTGTTTGTAGAGAAGGAGATACATGTAAAATATTAGTTTTATTTTGCTGTTGATACATAACATAAAATTGAATTACAAAAGAACACATAACTCATCTCATCACCAACTGACCAATGACAAAGAACACACAGATGAGAAAAGTGCTGGCACAAACTTCCCTTTTATTTTTTAGGGTTAATATATATATATAATTTCATCCATGGAAAAGGTTGTTTAAATTTTGCACAAAAGCATTAAAAATATATCATGATAATAAGAAATGCAGGCAAATACTTGCCTTATAAACGGATTAAACATTTACCAACACTACCCACAGATCTTTTAGCATTAACGTCCTTATTATCAACCCTCTATCAGGGCGACAGATTGATTTTTCACAAGATATTCACAGATATGTCTTTAGATAAATAGACAGTCATTTCATTCTCTGCCACCCTGTGATGAAATCTCAAGGATGATAACTTGGCTGGTAATTGTTTGCATATCTGCTCAGGCAATGCCACTTAAAAGGCCCAAGCCAAGTCCCTTTGACAACAATCAAGACAGTTAATTGTTCTGATTTTTATCACTTGATCTTTTGTGACAGATAAAAATAGCCTCTTACGAATAGCTTGTTACTTCAGATTGAAGTTAAATGAAGAATCTCCTGTAGTAGCTCCCTACAGTTTGGATACAATGCCATCTGCATGTGCACAGATTTAATTGCTTCCATCTGGCCAAAAGTCACAGGGTGGCTTTTTCAAGATTTACCTATAATATTTGCCACCTTGGTAAAGGTAAATATTAACCACATAACCCACGAATTACGTAACCTTGTCTGGAAAAATCATTAGTCTGGTTGCGTGCCGGTTGTTTTAATTTTAGACATTATAAGCAAATATCTACAAGATAACTGTGACACAAAGGCACCCGAAATACATATTAACATGTAAAACCATACCATACCTTGCACACAAAAAGATTCCTCAGGTCTTGTGTTCCAGTTACATAAACAACATTTAAACCCAGCAAAGCAAAACACAACTGGATCAAGATCTTGGAAGGAGTGTCTTTGCGCAACTTCCTAGAAAATACATTGTGTTACACATATTCATGTCAAAAACATGCAATCAAGCATTCTACAAATAATTGAGATAAAGGCATACAATGAGTGTAGGATCTTTCTAGAGCAATTATAATAATAATAAAAGGAGATAATTTTTTGGTTTTTTCAGTATCACCAAGTATGGGGAAATTGTCATTTACCCCAGGAAAATAAAATTTGTGGCCAAAATGAACGGTTTTTATCCCTTAAACAAATTACGTCAAACTTGTTACGCATCACAGATATGTTAAAACCAAGCAATAATGATAAATAACTACACAAAACAATTACGTGTATGCCAGGTAGGAGATGATTGTCAACAACAGACCCAAAACGCTGAGACCACAGCCCACATAAGTGACAATCATCAGAATTCTCCTGTTTAGTGGATCAATTGCTGAACCCGAGCCAAAAACATCCTGCAATCAGACATAAAATGATTACTGAAGATTATTTCCCGCATTATCACACGAAGAAGCTTATACCAACTAATCACCATGAGAAAATTGAAGTTAATCAAGCTTTATTACCTATGTCAAGGTACTATCAGATCACATATTGCATGTAGATTTCTATAACATGAAAGACAAAATAGAGCACGCAAAACAATTGTGCAACTTTAAAGCCAGAGGTGAAGGACTCGGCACTGAATTTCTGACAAGCTGACCAGCACTATATGTTTTCAGGTTTTTCAATCAAGATGGATGCAAAATAAAAGCTCTACAATTATTTAAACACATTAACACACAGAAAGTCAGAACTCTTTGAATATATGGCTGATCATACCACCTTTATTTAAAGTTACATATGAAGTCAAATCTTTGCTTTTAAACCCAACCAAATGCCACCATATAGTTTCAAACAGCATACTTCCCCCAAAACCGCATATGAACAGATATTTTGTTTTCTTTCTGTGTTATGTATAATCCTCAGTTGTTTCCACCAATGCACATTTGAATACTTACTAGTATGCCATTTCATGCATCATACAATACTACGTACCAGTACTAAAAGAACTTAAACAAAATGGATGGATGGATAAATAGGACACTTTACAACCAGAATTTTTAAGAAGGTGCAGTTTTTTAAGCTTTTTTGGCTTACAGTGTTAAATTTGGTTTATCCTTTGGCATGACAACTTTATTTGAGTCATATAGGAAACTTTTATAGGGAATATATGCACATTCATATATAACTAAGGGCTCATTCCCAATGAAATTATTGGTTTACGTAGATTGATCCAACTCTGAAGGGAGTCTCGCTGAGTGTATGTAATCAGATTCAATGAATGACAAGCCTCCTCTTGGCCATGAGTAGAATACAGAAAAAGGTGATTATATGAGTACATTAAAAGCCAGAGGAGGCGTGTTAATATTGTCATCTGATTGCATTCAGCAAGAGACCCTGCAGAGATCAATCTATGTAGAAAATTCATTTCTTTGGGAATGAGCCCTGAAAACTAAAACTTTTACCAATAGGTGAGGGTTTTAAAATTAAAAAAAAAATCCCAACAACAATCTGTATAATAATAATAATAATAATAATAATAATAATAATAATAATAATAATAATAATAAACTTGATTCACAAAACAACAATCTAAGCTTAAATTGACATATGTCCACAACCTGACAATAAACTGACAAAAACTAAATGTAAATAGAGGCTNACTGCGACCTGATCTGTACTTTAAATACGTCGGCACTTAAGTCCTTTTAGTCTGATCAAGCCCAACTTCTCTCTCGTTACTTCACTTCTCTCGCCAGTCGTGTCCGTCATCTATGGTCATTTTCCTGGTTTTTCCGCTTAGCTTTAACTGCAATGCACCCTACGACACAACATTAGCAATTCGCCATTGCGTTGCTCTATCTCAAATTACATGACAACGCCAAATTTTACTCAATGCAATCCTATAACATAGACTTGTGCCCAACCGCGAGAGAAGTTTTAATGGCAGATTTTAACCCCGCCTCTCGTGAAATCTCGCTCCAATCCAGGTCTCGTTTGATGTTCAAAATAGGCTATCTCGGATGTCCCCCATTCAGACCCAGCTATATTGTTTTGCTGAACTTGGACCTTCAGTTTTATGAAATACATTATATGTACTTAATTAAAAAAAAGTAAATCCATTAACTATCTCAATTAAGATAATATGAATCAGCTAAATCTCAATCCGATGAAATAAATATCACACAGGATTGAAACTGGTGGGGTTCACTGGCACTTACCACCAGCAAAGCAAAATTAGTGAGATGGTCACACTGGCATACCGTCCTGTTTCCTGGCTGGTCACCTGCCAGTCTACAGCCACGCCCTGACCATCCTCCTTGACCACTGTTGGCAGAGAAGTCCCAGAATACACACTGGGAGTTGTTGACTGTCTGGAATGGAATGAATGACATGGCTTTTTTTGAGGAACCTCACTTAGAAAGTGAAATGTAAAAAAAAAAAAAAAAAAAAGATAAAAATACATTACATACAGAAAAAAACTAATAAAAATACAATAAAGCCCTTCTTCAAAAATTGCATGATCTCAAATGCATATTAAACTTGACAAACAGAATGGTGTAAACCCTTACAGAAATGATTCAGTAAATTTTTAAAGAAATGTGACTTGTTTCATCCTAACAATTTATATCTTTTATCTGTACCAAAAACCAAAGTGATTTATTTTATATAAATAACAAATAAATGAATAAATATAATCACTTCTTTTTCTCTCTCCAGATGTTTGAATGATATAGTGACTGGGTCAGCAAGGTTCTGGACGGTCAGTCCGACCACACTGCCTGCTATGATGTGACCATTAATGTCCACATATGGGTAAACACTGGTGTTGGTCTTCACAGAGCCAGGACTGTTGCTAACAGAGGCCAGTACCTGGAATACAAGAACAAGAGAATGTATTTCATTCCTGATGGGATTGATCCAATAGTTTCTCATAAAAATTCAATGCCACACTTATTCTAATAGGTTTTTATATGTGGTTACTCGGTAAAAAAATAATTTCAAAGGTGAACCTAACTCATTTTTTTTCAAGTAATATTAAACAAGGCATCTTGACAATATGGTATGAATTAGTATGCCTTGCTTTGTTGGCCAGGAGCTTGGCATGTATTTTTTCAATGTTGAAAATTGATTTTCTGTACTTAAATGGTGAAAATCTGTCCCCCATCCTCAGACTTGCTATGATGCATAATCAGTTAGGATCCGTTCACATGAAAAATCTATCTTCTAAAAATCTATTTGTGGTATCTTGTGATCATGGTCTGTGCCCTGAATACCCTGCGGTGTAATTACTGGCAGCGCTGAGAATTAATTACACCTTTGGAAGTAACTGGCTCGCGCTGCCTGTAATTACTTCGCGGGGTATTCAGGGCACAGACCATGATCACAAGATACCACAAATAGATTTTTAGATTTTTAGAAAATAGATTTTTCATGTGAACGGAGCCGTAAACTTTGAGAGCCCTAGGTAAAGCTACTGCAAAGTAATGTTGAACAAAACAGGCCAAAGAAATTGTCTGTATGTCTTATGCCCAATGAAGCTAGTTACTGTTGAAAAAACTTGATAGGGTTGTTCAATCTAAACTAGAGGATCAGAGAGGTGAAACTGCCTGCGGGTGTTATACCACCAGCTGGATAAAGGGAATTCATATGGAAAAAAAAAAAAAGGGATATCATCTCCAGTGTTGTGATTGACAAGCTCTACCAAATGCAATAAACAAGAGTTCTTAATTTTTTGTAGAAAATTACAATTGATAACAAAATTGTGGGAAAAAGGGGGCCGTAGCGATAGTCCGAAGGTTCAATAGTCCGAAGGTTCATTGGTCCGAAAGTTCACTATAGAACCTTCGGACCAATGAACCCTTGATTAAAAAATCGATGAAAATGTTACCACTTTTCGGACCAATGAACCTTCGGACCAATGAACCTTCGGACTATCGAGATGCCCCCGGAAAAAGCAGAAGGTTAAATACAAGGTACATTGCAGTAAAATTGTGAAAAACAGACATCTCATCTATAGTACTATGGGTGTATCTCTGCCAGTTTTGGAGATATAAGGGACGGAAAATTTGCAAAGTTGAAATAAAGGTCAAAGGTCAAATCCAAGAGCATATTTGGAATTTCCACAGTTTGGGAGATATTTAACATTTAATTTTCTTAAATTTGGACAAGTGTACTGACAGAGCCCAAAATGTAAGTATACTGAGTTGAGATTATGTGTGACCTAAATTCAAGAGATGGGGACACAGGCCCTTGTAGTCTAGGACACGAAGCAGTGATGGTGACATGGCAGAAAATATGGCAGACAAAACGGGTTGGATCCAAAACCTATGCTGGCGGTACAATTGAAACACATTTGTTATAATGTAATTACCTTAAAAAAAGTATTTTGTTGGTAGACCACAAAGTGGACTCTGGAAGCACTGGCTTGCTGAGTGACATTCAGTCCTATGAATAATGTCCTTGGTAGACGTATGCCAACATCAGCCACATCTGGGACAGGTTCATTCTCAGACCCCACCAGTCTAACCTAGGTGACAAAAAACTTCTTTAACTAATTAGAAATTTGTACCATTATAACTGTTAAAAAGGGTTCAGTTTTAACTGAATTGAATTTATTTTAGTTATTTGTTAAGTCAAACAACCTCTCTGTTGGAGATATAAAACATCACATTTAAGTTCATATTCATATTTCACTTACAACATTCTCATTAGTGTTTCTTCCACTCGATACAGAGTCAAATCCTAAACCACTGAATTCTGGGTCTGATGCATTTGCTGAGACAACTGACACTGCTAAATTTGGGGCCACAATGGTCAGATTCGTTCCCGAAATATCAACTTTTTCAGCAAAAGTATCAATACCCCGTAGTATCCTGCAATATTGAAAAAGGACTAACATAATAGAGAAAGAAAATTGAATTATTTGAGGGCTTAAGTTCAGCAGCTGTGTTAGCGTGGGCAAATTGGTTTAAAGAACATGTGAAAAAATTTTTTAACATCTTTTAAACAAGGCAGCAAAGCTGTCAAATTTACATAAACAAAGCAGAAAAAAAAAAAAACGATGGATAAAAAAGGTTATTTTGTCAAAATGTAAAAAATGAAAATTTCACTAAAAACTACATAAATTACAAGAAAAACTAGAGGATCAGAGAGGCGATACCACCAGCTAGAGTAAGTGCATTTCTAAGGAAAACAAAACAAAAAATAAGTAAATAAATAAAAAATAAATAAATAAATAAATAAAGGGACACCACCACTGTGTTGTGCTTGTTAAGCTCTACAAAATATAGTACACTACAGGATCAGAGAGGTGTAACAGCCTCTGGGTATTGTACCACCAGCTGGAGTAAGTGCATTCGTATGGAAAACCAAAAAAAGGGACACCATCTCCAGTGTTGTGCTTGACAAGCTCTACAAAATGCAGTTAACAAGAGTCCTCAATATTTGTATTGAAAATTACCATTTAAAACAAAATCATGGGGAAAAGTAAAAGTTTAAATCCAAAAAATTTGTGAAGTGCGGTTCATGGCCAAAGGTTGGTCAAAGGTCAATTTCAAGATCACAATTAGATTGCTAGTATATCTTCCTATTCAAGATCAATAGTAACTATGAGCATATCCCTGCCAGTTTTGGAGACATAAGGGATAGAAAAGTTGCAAAGTTCAGTTCATGATTAAAAATAAGGCACAGGTCAATTTCAAGATCACATTTAGATTTTGGAAAAATAGCCTGATCAAGCCAATTTTAAACCTGGACCTGCATTTTACAAATGTTCATAACTTCTACAAATTTGAGGACCAAAGGTCAAATGGTTTTATTTCCAGTTGTGTTATCTGCAAAAGTGCAAAGCCATGGCAACAATGATAACAGATATAGGTGATGACCATGTGTACAGACATGATATGTGTCTGTAAATTAAAGATGAGGCATAAAATCAGTCAATTTTGGTTGAATTTAGTAAGAAAGTGGTGTAAAGAGAATTACACTGCAACAGATAAACATGTTAATGAGAAATGACAGGTGAGCCTTTATTATACTGTCCATTTAAAAACAAATGGTTAAACTGTATCCAGTTCGAAATATCATATATAAAATTGAGTGTAGATAAATCAAAATGATGTAGATGTACGAAGAGGGTCACAGAACATTCATATAATCTTTTCCTCTGACTTCATAACTATAGCTTTTATCTAACTAGAAATAATTTCACTTTTTTTTGCTACTAAATAATTCCTTGATGCTAAATGAGTTTCATTGTTTGTGCAGTTTATTGCTATAATAAGAAAGAATTGTCAGTCAATTAAATAGCCCGGGATGCAAAGCTATATACCTAGCTGGCACTTAGCTGAATCAGATATGCAAAGTGTTGCAAAGAGGCCAAAACAATGATTAGCCAAAAAGATGCTCTAAAAAACCTGTAACCTCAAAACTGAAATACGTGAACTATTTGTTTTAAAATTACAAATTAATGCAAATTTTCCAGGCCTAATCATTACGAAAATGTTATTACTCAATATTACTCAATGGTATAGATCTACTAAATTACATCATTTCTTTTATTAGAGGGATAATAAAAGCAATCGTCACAGGGGGACATTTACATTTAATTCTCCACTCAGCTTGTCTTCCTTCTCAATATAATCCTGCTCTTTCTTATTTTATCACACATCAATCTACCATTGCCCACATTGCTATACGCACACGAGGAAAACAAGTCACCTGTGGTGCTACAATACAAATATATTTTACAGAGAAATATAATGAAAGAGAAATGAGAATTCCGCACAGTTTAATGAATATAAGTGCATTACAAATATTGTTTGTGGGATGTGCATGTGGTCACTGACATCCTTAACTCTCCACCAGAATGTGTAAACATTTCATAAAAAAAAAAAAAAAAAAAAAAAAACAGCATAACTTTGTGAAGAAATGCCTTATTAAGTCAATTACAAATTATCAACGCTTCTATAAATTTGAGGATAAAAGGTTATATGGTTTTTCACTTGTTTTCTCTCCAAAAGTGCACAGCGACAGCAACAATGCCGACAGATGAAGGTGATGACCATGTGTACAGACATGATGTGTCTGTACATAAAAAGTTCATATGTGGCATATGATCAGTCAATTTTGATTGACTTTATAAGAAAGTGGTGTAAAGAGAATTACATTGCAACAGATAAACACGTTAATTAGAAATGCCAAACTGTGGAGATGANAAAAAAAAACAGCATAACTTTGTGAAGAAATGCCTTATTAAGTCAATTACAAATATTCAGCGCTTCTATAAATTTGAGGATATAAAAGGTTAAATGGTTTTTCACTTGTTTTCTCTCCAAAAGTGCACAGCGACAGCAACATTGCCGACAGATGAAGGTGATGACCATGTGTACAGACATGATGTGTCTGTACATAAAAAGTTCATATGTGGCATATGATCAGTCAATTTTGATTGACTTTATAAGAAAGTGGTGTAAAGAGAATTACATTGCAACAGATAAACACGTTAATTAGAAATGCCAAACTGTGGAAATGAGCCTTGATTATACTATCCATTTAAAATCAAATGGTATAACTGCATCCAGTTCAAAACATTTATTCTTTTATAAAATTGAATGTATATAAATTTAATTGATGTAGATGCAAGAGGAGGATCACAGAACATTCATATAATCTTATCCTTTGTTTGCATAACTATAACTAGTAAAAATTTCACTCTCTTGCTACTAGAAAATTCCTTGATGCTAAATGAGTTTTGTTGTTTGTGCGGTTTTTTTATTGCTATAATAAGAAAGAATTGTTAGTCAATTAAATAGCCTGGGATGCAAATCTATATATCTGACACTAAGCTGGATCTGATATGGAAAAGGTTACAGAGGCCACAATACTGATTAAGCCAAAAGATGATCTGAAAAACTCATTCAATTGTATCTATTACATTACATCATTTCTTTTATTAGAGGGATAATAAAAGTGACTGCCACGAGGGTGACATACACATTCAATTCTCCACTTAGCATGTCTTCCTTCTCAATATAATCTTGCCATTTCCAATTTATCACGCAACAATCTACCATTGCCCACATTGCGATGCATACACCAGGAAAACAAGAACTTACCAGATATAATTTCATGACTATTTAAAATGTGTTCATGGATGCATGCAAAAGCATCATCATGCAATGTCAGCTTGTGAAGGCCAGCAGTCAAATCCATTAGCGGACATTGCCTGACAGTTGCTCTGTGAAACTCGGGATATTGCAATGAAGTGAAAAATTTTTTTATATGACCATTTTAACATAAAACATCACGAAATGTACATATCTCATATGGGATGTAAACCTTCCCCTCTGAAGTGATTATGTGACTTTCTGGGTTGGAAGGTTAGGATGTTAGTGGCCACGTACACATCACACAAGCCTAATTTGTAATATACTTATATTCATTAAACTGTGCTTTAATCATATTTCTCAGTAAGATATATTCGTATTATAGCAGCACTTCTTCCAATGGCATTACTCATTGTGTGCATTCGCAACTATTATAAAGGTCCATTGAGAATGAGTTTGGTTGCAATAGCTAATGCATACTAACTCTACGTTTGAGGGATGAAAAATAACATATGGCTTTTAATAGATTAGAAAGTCTGTTTCTCTGATTTTTTTCTTTTTGCTGCACTTGCGTACACATTTCATTTGAAAAACAGCTCAACTCGCAAATGTGTCCATATTCTGTGATGATCTGGTGCAAAAGATGTTGGTCATTATGTTAGTACCATTGTACCTCCTAACAATGACACTTAAGATGAGAATGATACAGTTAATGATTATATTTACTAAAATGTATTTAGTAAGCAATATCTGGAAAAGAAATGAAAAACTAAAATGATAACTCTTGAAAATATACCTTGCAATAAGTAAAGCAATTAAGAATATGACAAACTTATTATTGATTTGACTTAAGCATCTATAATAAAGCCTATAACGTACTGAGAGGACCTTCATAAAATCTAAGAATGTCTAAGAATACTCTAGCCATCTTATTACCTGTTCACTGACTGGCTGTTTGTTTCTGACTTCAGCAAAGAGTCTTGGCCACTCCCCAACAAATTACTTTGGGTGTGCACGACATCATGTGCAACACGTGCTACGTGTGTTGAATTTAATGCTAGAATGCGGTCCAACAGACCTGTGGCTATTTCCACCTCTCCCTCTGATAATTCTTCACTGGATGTTGCATTACGTAATGATCCTGATATCTCCTCAACATTATCTAAAAATATCAATTCATTTCAACCATTTTAATTAAATTGAATTAAGTTTGTGTATTGGTAGCCAACAAACTGAGGATTAGGAGCACTCCCAATATAATCATAATGAAAAAGAATAAAACCTGAAGATACTTAAATATTTCTTCAAATAAAATCAAAAGTTATGGATGGATTTTGATGAAATTTTCAAGCAGAATACATAAAAAAAAAATCATTTTTTGGGAAACATGAAACAATGTCCTATGGTAATTCTGTAAGTTATACTATATGAATCTATATGGTAGCATTGAGTTGGGTTTTGTGGCATGTAAGTTTCTCTTTTGGCTTAAAAATGTTTAAAGGGATAATAACTCTTCATATGAGATCTATATTTCACAATAAAAACATTGTTAACAACTCATAAAAATATAACATATTCTGTTTTACCACAAAAACGGCAGTTATAGCTATTATTCTGATATCTGAGCTTGTCATTGGACCACGTGACCTCCATAGATGGCTATACTCTATAAAAATCTCTTAAGAGATTATTACAAAAAACAAACTTTTTAGAAAAAAAAACAGACTAACTTTGAATGTAGAAATGGATTCATTAACCATTGATAAGTATGGGAAAATTGTTTACTCCAGGAAAATTAATTTTTTGGCCAAAACGAACAGTTATTATCCCTCTAAATATTGCCAGTTGGTGTATGATAACTGAGTTTTTAAGACAAATCCCCCCTGCATGAGGAAATAATCTGATTATCATAATCCTAACCAGTATATCTTATCCAATCACAGTCTACATGCAGCCACTAAAAGCAAGCACTCTCGTCTATTACAGCTAATCTCGACAAGAAGTAAGATGTCTCTGATCACTAACAATCCTCAATCATTGTGCACATTCTGGTTTTATGCTTCAATTTAGCAGATATATAGGTAAGATAATACTTGCTTTCCATCCCTGTTTCCTCCCCATAATCTCCTCTTGCTTATACAGTAAACCTATTCTGTACTCATAAAAGTTTATTTTCTTTGTAATAATATATTATATTATTGCTTTTATTGGGTAATCTAGTAGTGCAAGCCTCTTTAATGAACATTTGATCAGATCAGCCATCTTGACGTGCACCACCACCCATTCAATTTTTATAATAGGATATTATGCAACATTATGCAACTTTTAGCAAAAACCAAAAAAAATTTGCCCATCATTTTCCATGAAAATAATAAATAAAAATAAAAAACACATACCTTGGTCCACTTTTGTATCATTCAGATCAAGGAATACTTTTCTTTGAGATGTCATGCAGTTGTCATGGTTCGGTGGCAGCCAGTATACAATGCCTGTTGGTATGTCTAATGTGCTAGGAGGAAAAGACATTCTGCTCTAACATTTACAACAATGATGAGACTAAACTCAGTCTAAAGTGTGTAACAATCATCACATCTATTCATGAATACTTTTGGAAAATCATCATGAAAGGGATAACAACTGTTTGTTTTGGCCAAAAAATTGATTTTTCTGGGGTATTAGACAATTTTCCAATGGTTAATGAATCCATTCAGACATTACAAGTTAGTCCAGGTTTTTTTTCTCTAAATAATTTTTTTGTTATAATATATTTAGAGAGGTATAGCCACTATGAGAGCCCACATGATCAAATGACAAGCACAGATTCCAGTATAACCACTGTTTAGTTGGTAATTTAAAAATTGAATTTATTGTATTTCTATGAGTTTTTTTTACAATGTTTAAATTGTGAAATATTAATCTGATATCAACAGTTGTTATCTCTTTAAGTGTATGAAAATATTTACTCTTACATATGATGTAAACATTGTCCTAGACTATGAAATGTATAGTAACAAGAGTGAGGGATCAGAGCTGCCAGCCCTTGCCATCCACATGCACCTGCTCATTGTAATGATTGAATTTAATCAGAAAATACATAGTTTAAACTACACACACACACACACACACACACACACACACACACACACACACACACACACACACACACACACAGCAGATAAGTTGGTACACTGTTAACAGACGACTTGATAAGAATAATTTTAATTCAAAACCATACTGGACGCTACTTTATACATACACCTGTACTCACCACTGTCTTACAGCAGTAGCAGGAAGATTTCCTAGATTGTATCTGCAGGGCAAGGAAAAAGATCTTGTGATAGTTGTCAAGTTGATCCATCTGTCTTGCCAAGTATAATTTCCTTTGTTGCTGCTATCAATACTATGTAAACATACACCTTCAAATAGGAATATCAACATATCAAAATAATTAATAACAATGATAATAACTTACAAATTTTAAATAAAGAAGGAAAAGACAGGGCTAAACTGCTTTCAAGTAATTGTACTTTATGGTTTAATATATAATTTAGCAAAAGGAATACATTACTAAAACATTTAAGATGTAACGTACCCAAAGAACCATCTTTAAAATACATTCCATTCAAAGCAACATCCATAAATTGATTGTTTTTCTTTGCTGTACTGATTGCATTAGAAATGTTCGTTCTGGTGACAGACTCATTTGAAATACTGCTGACAGTGGTACGAATCCTAACATATGACACAGTGCCATGGAAGCCAACAACAGGGCTGCAAAATAAAAAAAAATTACAAATCAAACATCACTGGAATATAACAGTGGCATCGCAGGCTCATTGCAGATAATTGTTATCTTAGGCCCCATTCCAGCATGCACGTATCATCTGTCTTCATAGATTGATCAAACTCTGTGGGGACTCTTGCTGAGTGCAACCAGTTTAACTGAATGACACACTAAATGTCACACTTTGGATTGATCTACGTAGACCGAGGGTGTCTATGGAAATGGGATATTAGTGAGGCCTTATCTGACATCATTAATTCAAAACAGTTTTAGGACTCCAGAAAAAAAAAAAAAGATGTCATACAGAGGGGCCTAAATTTATCCCAATATATATATATGTATATATATGAAAAATAATGATTTCAATTATAATTACCTTGGCATAACTGATGTAACCTCAACTTCATGTATTCTAGGCATAACTTCATAAAGAACTTTTTGTAACTGAAAGGCAGAAATAAATTGAAATTTTAAGACAGACAGATAATTAGTAGTAGCACCAATAAAAATGTGGCTTAGTGGCAGAAAACCAAGTATCGCCTAGGCAAGTTTAAAGGCAGCCTGAGCGAGATTGAAATCTTAACTCCCAGACAATTTTAGATTATGCAATGGAAATTTCACTATTATAATATATAATAGTTATGAGAGTGATATATATACATTTTGGCACGTATACACACACATTTATGCACAGTTTCATATTTTTACACAAAAACAGTCATTCATGAAATGGGCACAACTGCTAAATTGTTTCATGAAATGTCAGCAGTAATGGGTTTAAAAAGTGGAAACAATCTGAATGTCAACCTGTAAAACACACTGTCAACTGGTTTATAACAATCTCCCATCATGTGGTAATGACTAATCTTTTCAATGGGGAAAATCATTTATCTTTCAGATACATATTGTTGGAATCATTAAAAATAATAATCTGTAAAGCATTTTTGGGTCCTTTGACTGCACACACACACACACACACACACACACACACACACACACAGTTGATACAATTGATGTTTTCATGGATGCTTTTTTCAACCTTCATCTTGCAATATGTACTCAAGAACTAATTTCTAGATTAAAAGTGCATTCCCAGATATTTAGATAGATCCATCTAGATCGACCTAACTCCCTGGGGGTTGACGCTAAATTGCTGTTAGCCGAGCGTGCACGGTAGTTAATTACCCCCTTAGAGCTTTTAGTAGGCGGGACAGACGCTTAAGCCGGCTAAGCTGACAGTCACCCCATTTCCATAGATTAGATCGACCTACTTTAGATCGACCTAACTCCCTGGGGGTTCACGCTAAATAGCTGTCAGCCGGGCAGACACGAAAGTTAATTACCCCCTTACAGCTTGTAGTAGGCAGGACGGACATTTAAGTCGGATTATCTGAAAGTAATCTTGTGAGACTCCCCGCGGGGATAGATCGCTCTAAAACCTATGGGAATAGAGCCAGTAATCTAGTGAGATTCCCCACAGGGATAGATCGATCTAAAATCTGTGGGAATGGGATCTTAGGCAGATGTCTGAATGCTTTTCAGAAATAATTACACTTTCTGTATCATCTCCGGGCTTGGTAATAATAGAACTCTGAAAGATGGATTCATGGTGTAGTGTCGTGTCTGTATTGTCTTTAAATGCATTCTTTCTCTTTTTAGAAAATAAACAGCCCACTTAAGTACCCCCAACCTGACAAAGGTATAGCAGAAAAAAATATGCCATGGTTTGAAAGTGTGAGTCAAATAGTTTTTAAAATTGGTTTTGAAAATTTGTCATTTTAACCAAAGTTGTGACTTGACAGAAAAATGGCAAACATTCAGACACCAAATGACAAAAAACAAAAAATAGTGAAAATAATCTGATCATGCCAACTATCAAAAGGAACTTGTGTTTTTCCTAAACAAAGCTATTGAACAAATTTCAGGTAAAACAAAATATAGCCGAGTACTAATGGGGTATACTGTGTCCCAAAAAAAAAAAAAGGATGAAAACTCTCATGAATTAAATAACTATAAAAATTTACCAAATCAAGAACAATAATTACACAGTCAAACTATGATCCAAGATGTACGTTAAGTTAGGATAAAGCATATTAAACTCCAACATTCAGGATTTTTGAGCCTCTGACAAACACTGTTTTCTCACGCAACATTGTTTATCGACTGACTGAAACTGTACACCAAATGAAAAACTATAATAATCTAAACCACAGTACATAATACAGCTTTCAGGAAAATGTCACTTTCTGGAGGCTAAATATAAACAAGCTGATAAAATTACCAGTAATTTCCATTTTGTTCACTTCAAGGGTTAACTAGAGAAGCAAGATTAATCAACCAAACATTGACGTCACTACTACCAAGCTAAGATCCGTTTATTAGATCTTAGTACCAAGCAAGTTAATTTTGCTGTAATATGCCTAATAATGGACCATTATTTTGCAAAAATAAAATTAAATAATTTTAAATAAATATAAACATAAATTGATAAAAAGAATTATAAGAATCATCCAAAGATGGTTAAAATGTTGATATCATGTTAGCAGTCAAACCCTTTTTAAAAATATTTTTTAAAATAACATTATTAAATTATTAACAACATAGATAATGACATACTATCGATCCTTGGCAGTATGCAATACTAGGGCAAGTGAATAATAACTTAATTCTCATAAGCACATACCTTGGTCTGAAATATAGTCCACAGATTCCAATAGGCTCTCGAGGATGAAGAGATGTCATGGGTGAATAGTATGTGAACAATATAAGTCTGGCGTGCCACTGTAAAGATGGATCAGAATCTGAAGATATTCTAACAGCATGTCATTTATTTAATGGTACCCAGGTACATTAAAATATATCTATTTAAAATATATTTATTTAAATTTGTTTAAATACAAATTGCACTGTACAAGCAAAATACTTGTATATAACATATAGTACTGCACCTGTTTAAACTTGGACAGCAAAGCAAGTGGAACAGTAATATATAGGGTATTCATGCAGTTATAAGTTTTTACATTCAAAACAAGGCAGAAATTGAATTTGAGTTTTAGGCACACTTCTCAATGTTTTGATAATGGTCAAAGCCAATTTAGCTATATATGCATCTGTAATGTCACTTATGTACAAATTGGGCTTTAGACAAAATAAACAAAAATATACATATCTAAATGAATGCTACCTAAAGCTGAAAGATAATTAAATAATAAAAAGTTGATAAATTAATTTGCAAAAATTACTTATATTAAGTCCTGCAATGCAGTAGAAGTTCAGTATAAGTTAACACAGGTGTGATATAATGATTCATATGGAAATAAGGCCAATTACTAGTAAATCTACCTATTATACTTAAACTGGGCACCTGATCTGGTGTCATTATACGTAGTTCTTCAGATGAGTAGAAAAGGTCGATCAGACGTTCATATTGAACTAACCGCTTTCTTGTAATCAGTCATAGCATTTGTTTATATTATTCATGTGCTAACTGGAAATTGGAACAGTAAACTAGCCTTGACCAATTAGCATGGTGAATGATGATGACGAACAATTCCAAGACAAATCTCATAACAAAGTCACTCAGCATGTCCACATTGTCTCATCATAAAATGACTGACTCTTTCAGCTGCTGCGGGTGCTCATTAATCATTCACTAGACCGACAGTAACATGTTCACAGTTTGCATAGTATAATTTAAATCTGAAACTCACTATCAGACAACTGCACTACTTAACCAATTAAGGGCCAAAATGTCTGAGATGCACAGTGCCTGTGTCTCTCTTTCATTCTGCTCACAGAATCAAGATGAAGTAAATATGCTTGTAATTTGTTAAATCTCTGACATAAAATACATACGGACTGGTGTCGTGAAGCAAGATCAAAGGATAATCAGCTTAGTGCAAGCTTTTTGGAAAAACCAACTGCGTTTGGATCACGTGTATGTGTGTCCTTCAGTACAAGTAGAGAGTGATCGCGTGTTTGTGTCATTTGGTTAGGTAGATCCAGACCAGGTTAGACAGGTCTTTGGTTGGATGAGACGAGGAACTCTTAGAAATTAACTGTAAGTACAATCTATTGTATCATTGTGGAAGCAAGATGACAATTTGATATGTAAACTCATGAATGAATTCAAAATGCCCAATATGGTGAAAGCAACTATGTCTGTTACAGTAAACTGAGCTTTTATAATTGTATAATTGTGATGTAGAATACTTGATTTTAGCTATGATCCCAAAGAATTAAATTTATATACAGACATCACCTGTGTCGTCATTGCCCTCACCATGCACTTTCAGTGATAACACAATAAGTGGAAAAAAGTTTCACTTTTTAACTTCAAACTTATGGTATGATGAATATTCATGAAATATAGATCGAGTTCGAAATCAGCATGATTGGGCCATTTTTTCAAAAGATATGCTGTTTTTTTTTTTTTTTTTTTTTTTTTTTTTTTTTTTTTNGTCAATAACTCATAAAAATATAACATATTCTGTTTTACCACAAAAACGGCAGTTATAGCTATTATTCTGATATCTGAGCTTGTCATTGGACCACGTGACCTCCATAGATGGCTGTACTCTATAAAAATCTCTTAAGAGATTATTACAAAAAACAAACTTCTTAGAAAAAAAAAAACAGGGACTAACTTTGAATGTAGAAATGGATTCATTAACCATTGGTGAGTATGGGAAAATTGTTTACTCCAGGAAAATTAATTTTTTGGCCAAAACGAACAGTTATTATCCCTCTAAATATTGCCAGTTGGTGTATGATAACAGAGTTTTTAAGACAAATCCTCCCTGCATGAGGAAATAATCTGATTATCATAATCCTAACCAGTATATCCTATCCAATCACAGTCTACATGCAGCCACTAAAAGCAAGCACTCTCATCTATTACAGCAAATCTCGACAAGAAGTAAGACATCTCTGATCACTAACAATCCTCAATCATTGTGCACATTCCGGTTTTATGCTTCAATTTAGCAGGTAAGAGTATACTTGCTTTCCATCCCTGTCCCCTCCCCTTAATCTCCTCTTGCTTATACAGCAAACCTATTCCGTACTCATAAAAGTTTGGTTTCTTTGTAATAATATATCATATTATTGCTTTTATTGGGCAACCTAGTAGTGCAACCCTCTTTAATGTAGATTTGATCAGATAAGCCATCTTGACGTGCACCCACCATCCATTTAATTTTTACAACAGGATATTATGTAACATTATGCAACTTTTAGCAAAGAACAAAAAAAATTTGCCCATCATTTTTCATGAAAATAATAAATAAAAAATAAAAAACACACACCTTGGTCCACTTTTGTATCATTCAGATCAAGGAGTACTTTTCTTTGAGTTGTCATGCAGTTGTCATGGTTCGGTGGCAGCCAGTATACAATGCCTGTTGGTATGTCTAATGTGCTAGGAGGAAAAGACATACTGCTCTAACATTTACAACAATAATGAGACTAAAGTCAGTCTAAAGTTTGTAACAATCATCACATCTATTCATGAATACTTTTGGAAAGTCATCATTAAAGGGATAACAACTGTTCGTTTTGGCCAAAAAATGGATTTTCCTGGGGTATTAGACAATTTTCCAATGGTTAATGAATCCATTCAGACATTAGAAGTTAGTCCAGATTTTCTTCTCTAAAAAGTTTTTTAGAGAGGTATAGCCACTATGAGAGCCCACATGGTCAGATGACAAGCACAGATTCCAGTATAACCACTGTTTAGTTGGTAGTTTAAAAATGGAATTTATTGTTTTTCTATGAGTTCTTTTTTACAAATTGTTAAATTGTGAAATATTAATGTGATATCAACAGTTGTTATCTCTTTAAGTGTATGAAAATACTTGCTCTTACATATGACGTAAACATTGTCCTCATGACTATATGACACGTATAGTAACAAGAGTGAGGGATCAGAACTGCCAGCCCTTGCCACCCACAAGCACCTGCTCATTGTAATGACTGAATTTAATCAGAAAATACATAGTTTAAACTCAGAATATATATACAGAGCAGGTAATAGTTGGTACACTGTTAACAGACTACTTGATAAGAATAATTTTTACCATGGTCCATAGGAGCCTATGCGTGCGTCTTTTAGACGCCCCTTTACATGCGAAAACGACAAGGCCTACGCCGAATTTGTCTTTTACTACAGAGCTTTGAGAGCCGAAAATGGCATGGCTGTGTCTCTTTCGCCACTTACTGAACTCCAGAGATGCGAGATTGACATGACCCATGTCGCGTTTGTCTCTCAAAAGACACTGTTATAAAACATGAAATAGGCATTACGTGTGATTTTCGCAGCTGAATAAGTAGACCCTTATAAACGAAGTTGACGTGACCTAAGAGTCATGTCGCTTTCAACTTTTACAAACCTCCAACAAAATCTATCTCCACACAGACGCGCGCAACATGTACTATTGGACATGGGTCAGTTGAAAGCGACATTAACCTAAATGGCTCATGTTACTTTCAGCCAATTAATTTGAAACAGAAGGACCGTCTTAAAACCCTTTATATTTGAATCCTTGAAAATAAAAATATGAGGCCATATAATTATTACAAGCAATTAGCCACACTGTTATCTAGATAGCACTAAATTATGATGGGATTCAAATGAAAAAAATGTTTTGGGACAGCACAACACTGTTTCAAATTAATTGGATTTGACATATAAGAGTTGGCTGAAAGTAACATGAGCCCTTTAGGATAATAGGGTTTCAACTGACCCATGTCCAATAGTACATGTCGNGTTATCTAGATAGCACTAAATTATGATGGGATTCAAATGAAAAAAATGTTTTGGGACAGCACAACACTGTTTCAAATTAATTGGATTTGACATATAAGAGTTGGCTGAAAGTAACATGAGCCCTTTAGGATAATAGGGTTTCAACTGACCTTGCCTTGGCCTTGTCGTTTTCGCATGTAAAGGGGCGTCTAAAAGACGCACGCGTAGGCTCCTATGGGCCATGGTAAATTTTAATTCAAAACCATGCTGGATGCTACTTTATACATACACCTGTACTCACCACTGTCTTACAGCAGTAGCAGGAAGATTTCCTAGATTGTATCTGCAGGGCAAGGATAAAGATCTTGTGATAGTTGTCAAGTTGATCCATCTGTCTTGCCAAGTATAATTTCCTTTGTTGCTGCTATCAATACTATGTAAACATACACCTTCAAATAAGAATATCAACATATCAAAATAATTAATAACAATGATAATAACTTACAAATTTTAAATAAAGAAGGAAAAGACAGCTACACTGCTTTCAAGCAATTGTACTTTATGGTTTAATATATAATTTAGCAAAAGGAATACATTACTGAAATATTTAAGATGTAACGTACCCAAAGAACCATCTTTAAAATACATTCCATTCAAAGCAACATCCATAAATTGATTGTTTTTCTTTGCTGTACTGATTGCATTAGAAATGTTCATTCTGGTGACAGACTCATTTGAAATACTGCTGACAGTGGTACGAATCCTAACATATGACACAGTGCCATTGAAGCCAACAACAGGGCTGCAAAATAAAAAAAAAATTACAAATCAAACATCACTGGAATATAACAGTGGCATCGCAGGCTCATTGCAGATAATTGTTATCTTAGGCCCCATTCCAGCATACACGTATCATGTCTACATAGATTGATCAAACTCTGTGGGGACTCTTGCTGAGTGCAACCAGTTTAACTGAATAACACACTAAATGTCACACTTTAAATTAATCTGCATAGACCGAGGGTGTCTATGGAAATGGGATATTAGTGAGGCCTTATCCGACATCATTAATTCAAAACAGTTTTAGGACTCCAGAAAAAAAAGATGTCATACAGAGGGGCCTTAATTTATCCCAATATATATATATATATATATGAAAAAATAATGATTTTAATTATAATTACCTTGGCATAACTGATGTAACTTCAACTTCATGTATTCTGGGCATAACTTCATAAAGAACTTTTTGTAACTGAAAGGCAGAAATAAATTGAAATTTTAAGACAGACAGATAATTAGTAGAAGCACCAATAAAAATGTGGCTTAGTGGCAGAAAAGTATCACCTAGGCAAGTTTAAAGTCAGCCTGAGCGAGATTGAAATCTTAACTCACAGACAATTTTAGATTATGAATAGATTTATCAAATCCCTAATAATGTCATTTTAGTTGTAAAATTTATATCTTTTATGAATGAAATTTCAATTTCACCTAGGTGATACAAATATCCACAATTTGAAAAAAGTCTGCATATATGTATAGTTTTCCAAAATGGAAATTTCACTATTATAATATGTAATAGTTATGAGAGTGATATATATACATTTTGGCACGTATACACACACATTTATGCACAGTTTCATATTTTTACACAAAAACAGTCATTCATGAAATGGGCACAACTGCTAAATTGTTTCATGAAATGTCAGCAGTAATGGGTTTAAAAAGTGGAAACAATCTGAATGTCAACCTGTAAAACACACTGTCAACTGGTTTATAACAATCTCCCATCATGTGGTAATGACTAATCTTTTCAATGGGGAAAATCATTTATCTTTCAGATACATAATGTTGGAATCATTAAAAATAATAATCTGTAAAGCATTTTTGGGTCCTTTGACTGCACACACACACACACACACACACACACACACAGTTGATACAATCGATGTTTTCATGGATGCTTTTATCAACCTTCATCTTGCAACATGCACTCAAGAACTAATTTCTAGATTAAAAGTGCATTCCCAGATATTTAGATAGATCCATCTAGATCGACCTAACTCCCTGGGGGTTGACGCTAAATTGCTGTTAGCTGAGCGTGCACGGTAGTTAATTACCCCCTTACAGCTTTTAGTAGGCGGGACAGACGCTTAAGCTGGCTAAGCTGACAGTCACCCCATTCCCATAGATTAGATCGACCTACTTTAGATCGACCTAACTCCCTGGGGGTTCACGCTAAATAGCTGTCAGCCGGGCGGACACGAAAGTTAATTACCCCCTTACAGCTTGTAGTAGGCGGGACAGACATTTAAGTCGGATTGTCTGAAAGTAATCTAGTGAGACTCCCCGCGGGGATAGATCAATCTAAAACCTATGGGAATAGAGCCAGTAATCCAGTGAGATTCCCCACAGGGATAGATCGATCTAAAACCTGTGGGAATGGGATCTTAGGCAGATGTCTGAATGCTTTTCAGAAATAATTACACTTTCCGTATCATCTCCGGTCTTGTAAAGACTTGGTAATAATAGAACTCTGAAAGATGGATTCATGGTTTAGTGTCGTGTCTGTATTGTCTTTAAATGCATTCTTCCTCTTTTTAGAAAATAAACAGCCCACTTAAGTACCCCCAACCTGACAGAAGTATAGCAGAAAAAAATATGCCATGGTTTGAAAGTGTGAGTCAAATAGTTTTTAAAATTGGTTTGGAAAATTTGTCATTTTAACCAAAGTTGTGACTTGACAGAAAAATGGCAAACATTCAGATACCAAATTACAAAAAAACAAAAAATAGTGAAAATAATCTGATCATGCCAACTATCAAAAGGAACTTGCGTTTTTCCTAAACAAAGCTATTGAACAAATTTCAGGTAAAACAAAATATAGTTGAGTACTAATGGGGTATACTGTGTCCCAAAAAAAGGATGAAAACTCTCATGAATTAAATAACTATAAAAATTTACCAAATCAAGAACAATAATTACACAGTCAAACTATGATCCAACATGTACGTTAAGTTAGGAAAAAGCATATTAAACTCCAACATTCAGGATTTTTGAGCCTCTGACAAACACTGTTTTCTCACGCAACATTGTTTATCGACTGACTGAAACTGTACACCAAATGAAAAACTATAATAATCTAAACCACAGTACATAATACAGCTTTCAGGAAAATGTCACTTTCTGGAGGCTAAATATAAACAAGCTGATAAAATTACCAGTAATTTCCATTTTGTTCACTTCAAGGGTTAACTAGAGAAGCAAGATTAATCAACCAAACATTGACGTCACTACTACCAAGCAAGTTGATTTTGCTGTAATATGCCTAATAATGGACCATTATTTTGCAAAAATAAAATAAAATAATTTTAAATAAATATAAACATAAATTGATAAAAAGAATTATAAGAATCATCCAAAGATGGTTAATATCATGTTAGCAGTCAAACCCTTTTTAAAAATATTTTTTAAAATAACATTATTAAATTATTAACAACATAGATAATGACATACTATCCTTGGCAGTATGCAATACTAGGGCAAGTGAATAATAACTTAATTCTCATAAGCACATACCTTGGTCTGAAATATAGTCCACAGATTCCAATAGGCTCTCGAGGATGAAGAGATGTCATGGGTGAACAGTATGTGAACAATATAAGTCTGGCGTGCCACTGTAAAGATGGATCAGAATCTGAAGATATTCTAACAGCATGTCATTTATTTAATGGTACCCAGGTACATTAAAATATATATATTTAAAATATATTTATTTAAATTTGTTTAAATACAAATTGCACTGTACAAGCAAAATACTTGTATATAACATATAGTACTGCACCTGTTTAAACTTGGACAGCAAAGCAAGTGGAACAGTAATACAAGGTATTCATGCAGTTATAAGTTTTTACATTCAAAACAAGGCAGAAATTGAATTTGAGTTTTAGGCACACTTCTCAATGTTTTGATAATGGTCAAAGCCAATTTAGCTATATATGCATCTGTAATGTCACTTATGTACAAATTGGGCTTTAGACAAAATAAAGAAAAATATACATATCTAAATGAATGCTACCTAAAGCTGAAAGATAATTAAATAATAAAAAGTTGATAAATTAATTTGCAAAAATTACTTATATTAAGTCCTGCAATGCAGTAGAAGTTCAGTATAAGTTAACGCAGGTGTGATATAATGATTCATATAGAAATAAGGCCAATTACTAGTAAATCTACCTATTATACTTAAACTGGGCACCTGATCTGGTGTTATTATACGTAGTTCTTCAGATGAGTAGAAAAGGTCGATCAGACGTTCATATTGAACTAACCGCTTTCTTGTAATCAGTCATAGCATTTGTTTATATTATTCATGTGCTAACTGGTAATTGGAACGGTAAACTAGCCTTGACCAATTAGCATGGTGAATGATGATGACGAACAATTCCAAGACAAATCTCATAACAAAGTCACTCAGCATGTCCACATTGTCTCATCATAAAATGACTGACTCTTTCAGCTGCTGCGGGCGCTCATTAATCATTCACTAGACCGACAGTAACATGTTCACAGTTTGCATAGTATAATTTAAATCTGAAACTCACTATCAGACAACTGCACTACTTAACCAATTAAGGGCCAAAATGTCTGAGATGCACAGTGCCTGTGTCTCTCTTTCATTCTGCTCACAGAATCAAGATGAAGTAAATACGCTTGTAATTTGTTAAATCTCTGACACAAAATGCATACGGACTGGTGTCGTGAAGCAAGATCAAAGGATAATCAGCTTAGTGCAAGCTTTTTGGAAAACCAACTGCGTTTTGATCACGTGTATGTGTCCTTCAGTACAAGTAGAGAGTGATCGCGTGTTTGTGTCATTTGGTTAGGTAGATCCAGACCAGGTTAGACAGGTCTTTGGTTGGATGAGACGAGGAACTCTTAGAAATTAACTGTAAGTACAATCTATTGTATCATTGTGGAAGCAAGATGAGAATTTGATATGTAAACTCATGAATGAATTCAAAATGCCCAATATGGTGAAAGCAATTATGTCTGTTACAGTAAACTGAGCTTTTATAATTGTATAATTGTGATGTAGAATACTTGATTTTAGCTATGATCCCAAAGAATTAAATTTATATACAGACATCACCTGTGTCGTCATTGCCCTCACCATGCACTTTCAGTGATAACACAATAAGTGGAAAAAAGTTTCACTTTTTAACTTCAAACTTATGGTATGATGAATATTCATGAAATATAGATTGAGTTCGAAATCAGCATGATTGGGCCATTTTTTCAAAAGATATGCTGTTTTTTTGTTGTTTTTTTTTTGCTTTTTTTAGCATATTTGCAACATTGATAACACATTTCAAGGAAAATCTATAGGCCTATTGTCTTAAAACTCACAGGTGTGATCAATCTTACTGAAATACTATTTTGTGCATCATCTGCTTTTTGTCTGTACATTTGACAGCTTGCTGCCTTGTTAGTCTCATGATTTTTCGTTTTTGGGAGAAAATAAACCTTGAGATGCAGCAATATTGAAAAGTCTCAAAGTAATAGCAGAATTTGTAAAGACTGCTGTTAAAATACATATATGTACAGTAGTTCACATACAATTTAGTACATCACGGCCACTAATTGTTGATAATGCTGAGAATAGCTTAATTGATTTTATAGCATAACATGCATTAACACGTGTAATTTAGCATACTACATATGTAAACATATATAAAGGTATATCCTTATATATTGTGTGAATAATATAGTGCTCAATAAACTTATTTTTATTATTATTATTATTATTATTATTATTATAGACAGGGATACGTGTTACTCAGCACCTAGGTGCAACCCCCCCGACGGAAATCGTACACTGTCGCTGTTCCTCAGGGCTAGTAAAAGCGTTCCCATCACAAGATTTTTTACAAGCTAGATTTTATTGTGCCCTGACACTCAGGGTAACTAGCACACCCTGCAGTCAGAAAGTAGAGACAGTGACAAACACACAAATTGCTTCTTTAATTCAAGTGCTTGATGATATTTACTTGGGTATAATGATTGTAAAAGTGATGCAGAGTGGATCTTGATCTCGTTTAAGTGTTAAAAACCTCACCTCATTAATGGACTTCAACTTCATGGTTCTATCTTGTTATCAGATTCTTGGAATCTTTGGAATCATCCCAGTGCATGCTATTCAATAGCACTTACCTGGGTTAATCAAGTCATTAGAGGGCATGACAGATAATAAGATGTTTAACTGTTACCTTGTTAACTTATTTTAGATATGTAATGGATTGTTGACAAGTGAGTCAGAGGATGACAGACCCCAGACAACCCTGAAGAACAATTCTGTACCTGGTAAGCTATTATGAAGAATTTATTCGTAATGCTGAAAAACCCCAGATTATTTTACAATAAATTAAACAGAATGTCTGCTTTGAAAGATATCATTAAAATACCACTTGTAAAGTGTTTCAAATTGCTTTAGAGAGTCTATGTTGAATACATTGTATTTTAGATAATAGAGTGACAAGTGACTCTGCAGATGAGAGAACCCAGTAATCCCTGCAGAACAACTCTGTGACTGGTAAGCTGTTAAGAAGAATTTATTTGTAATGCTGTGAAGACTATTTTTTTAATTAAACAATATAATGTCTGCTTCAAAATACATTATTAGTACGGCGGTTTAAAATGTGTGCCTGCCAGTTGCTTTTAAAACACTTTTGTTTAAAATATCACTTGAAGATGATAAGTTGTTTAACTGTTACCTTGTACTCATAGAGGGACTTGAAGAATAATACATGTACATTTAGTTTACCCAATGGATGAGTCTTCAAAGAAAGGCCTTAAAGATTCCATTTATTAAAAGTATTGACACTTTGCCCATTTGCAAAGTAAATGGAAATTGGTGTGCTGGGGAAAACATGGAGGTTAACTTTATGGTTCATGGAAAAAAATTGCCACTTAAACATGAGCTTTACTCTTTTTATGGCAGGAAGTACAGTGATGTTTCATCTTCAAACTTGGAACTTGTTAAATCAGACTTCAATTCAGCCAGAGGCCAGTGCAGGTTTCCTACTTTGTTTTTTACCCTAAAGTAATTATAAATAAATAACATGTCAAATATAAGTTTGTGGTTGGTGAAGTTTTGAGTCTCTTCTGTATGATTTGCAGTCTTCGATGTCAAATTAATAGGTGTCATTTAAGAAAACAAGCGAAAAACTTAGTATCTGACCCCTCTTACTGAGGCGTCACAGCTACATGTACATGTACATGATTAAGTTGGTAGGAAAATTCTTATACTTGTCCTGTCACTGCATGTCTCCTTCACCAACAGAAAAAGTCAACAGGTATAGAGAAAATGCAAGAACCCGTTATGTAGGAGATAATGGAAAACAGAAATTGAAAAGCCCAAATTTAATTTCCACATGTTGATGCAAGCCTAAGTGCAAGAAACTGTAAGATGGTGACAACGCAACCATGAGAGACCACAGCAAATTGCGTAGTTAGTGGGAAAAAAAATAGAAAGTCACATAGGCACAGCGCACTCGACCTTCATTATAATCTATTTGGACTCTCAGGAAGCTATCAAAACAGCTTAACAATCGGCAGATATTACCAGAACGCAGTTGTCTTCAAGGGAAGATGCCATGCCACCATTCCATGTGTATTTTGTGTGAGAGGTTAAATCAAAACAAGTATTGGGTATATAGCATGCAAACTACTTTCAGTAAAAATTTCTAAGAGTATGAAGCATGCTGTCTTAAAGGCCTAGCTTAGTGCATACACCTTAATATATCACAGAGGGTTTTTTCCTTAAAATTTGAACAATTTTTCGTATCCTCTAACTTACCATCTCCAAATCCACTGTGAAAGTTATGAGGTACGAATAAATCCTGTTTTTAAGTATTAATTGATGGTTTTTACTGTTACAAGAGAAATGAACCAGTCCAGGGCATCAAGTTATAATGGACCTTCAAAAAATAGGCAAATAGGAAAAAATTATTTCAAAAAGGGAAAAATGAGGAATTATACTGTAACATATCTGTTTAAGAGCATACATTTCATCCATTGTGCTTCTTTAGTCAACAAAATTTAAACTGTGAAAAAAATCATATTTTAACATTCTTTGGCTTTCTTAACTGATGACTTAACTGATGAACAATCAGGTTTTTTACTAGACAATTTTCTTCCCTAATGCTGCACACTGTTTTGCTGGGATGGCCTTTTTTAGTCCTCATAAACAACAACACCATTTGTGATTTTGAGCTGTGGATTTGTGATAGCAAATGCTGAATCAGCAACCTAAACCACAATTTCATTGTGTGAATATGAAAATACTTGTTGCAAACACCGCAACAAAAATAGCTTTTACCTTTTCTCTCACTGTTTATAAATGGGTTCGATTTCTTTTTTTCCACTCGGAACTAATTTCAGTATGAAAGAAGATATGAAAAACTGCTAATTAGAGCTTTTGGAGACTCTTAAGTAAAAAAAATGCAACAAATAGGATACAAGTATTAACACATATTTCCAAGAACTTACAAATATCTATTTTCTATGAAATTAACATAATCATTAGAAAAATAGATAAAAAGCTTCAAAAATGAATTGAACTAATCTACAGTTCATTTCTGTATAATCTACAATTAATACTGCATATCAGTATGGGTGTAATGGAACGTGGTAGGTGAGGGGACTTAAGCTTGCTGTTCACTAGTTTTCATTGCATTGTTTGCAACAAGTATCTATGCGATGGCATAAATAGTTGTTTAAACCCACAGCACCAGGAACCGCACATGTGCAGTTCATTAAAAAAATTCCCCAGTGCCAGCAAATGCAAATACGCGGTTTCTGTGCTTGTATACACATAATGTCCACTATCATTTGTAACAATTTATGCTTCCATCACAGGAATAACCCGATGTTAGTTCTTTGTTTACTACCGGCTTTTGAAAGACATGTGATGAGAGTTAGATAATGAAAAAGCGATTTATTTTGACCCTTGTCGAGACGCTAAGAAGTCAAGATGGCGACAAGAAGTCAACAGAAGTAATGGAGTGAGAAATGTTCTAGAACTATTAAATATTCAGTCTTCGGGGAAGAGTCCTTGATATATTTTGATACTCCGACAACAGCAAACATGATGTTTCTTTGGCTAGTATGAGTCGTCAGAAGATTCTGACGTGGAGCTAGATTTATGGAAAATGCTGATGATACTAGCTGCTGATTGGAATGGGGACATCGCTGATAAAAATTACTGTAACCATTTCTGTGGCAAGTCAGGCTAAATGCTGCCTGGTTTGCTCCATCAACTTGTCTTTTCCTGCTTGTGTATAAATACAGAGATGTCATATGTTACGTTGTACTGCATCAAGATGTCTTTTCCTGCTTATGTATAAGTACAAATGACATGTTTACTTGGGTGCTGCATCAACATATGCCTCTTCCTGCTTGTGTATTAATACAGATGTAATATCTTTACCAGTGTGCTGTATCAACATGTCTTTTCCTGCTTGTGTATTAGTATAAATACCACGTTTACTTGTGTTTTTATGATGGGATTTAAGTTTTATTCGCGAAAGTGTAATATTTTCTCATGACAATGTTTTTGTATATAATTTGAGTGCAAAACAAAATTTTATGTTATTTCTAGTTCAGTTGATAAATAAATAAATAAATTTAAAAAAAACTATAAAAAACTATTGAAAAAGGCACTTGTTTATAATCTAATTTGTAATTATAAAAGTAAATAGGCGTAAGTCTTCTAGTCAGCAAGCCAGCCTGTATATTGTGCAGCTCTCTGACGTGATGTAGGTTTTTAGGTACAGCATGAATCCCAGGAAATTTATTATTGCTCAAAAACTAAATATCTTTCTGAAATTTCCTGACATTGTTTAAAACATATTTAGGATGCCTATGAGAAAATTTCAATGAATTATTTGGTAAAATGAAAAAGAATGTGCATGCTGAAATTAAAATTTTGTTTTTTTACTTCTCCTCAAGAAAAGCAAGTTCTCATTTCTACCTAAGTTACCAAATGTGAATAAAACTGATATGACTTTAAAGCTTACATTCTTGACTTTATAAAAATGTACAGTTTTTAGGTGTTTTCTAGACAAATGAATATATTATCATTGATTAAAGAGGCTGCCTGTAAAATTGAGTGCACCCAGGAAGAGGCCTCAGGACCAACGGCACTTTTTAGGTCAGATGCTGTCAGGCTATATGGGGTTAAGATTATTATAACCCTTCATTATCATCCAGCTATTGAAAATGAGGTTTTTCCTCCATCTAATAATTCAATAATGCATTTATCTTTGCGCTGATTTAAAACAATTTAAAAAGAACTGGAAAATATAAAATATCAGTGTTTATATTTCATCACTGCAATGTATAAGTAAAGGCAACTCAATTTAACACATTTCTATTTTGAGATAAGATAATCAGTATGAGGTGTAACTTCATCCCTGAACTAGTTTTTATCATGACAATTGGTAGAGTTGACAATGAGTGTATAAGCTACAATCCTGTGCCGTCATTTTGGTTTAAATGTTTTTGTTATGGAGTTATGAGCCCCTAACTACAGATTTTCATAAAAAAAAGACATTATTTTGCTTTATCAATGATAAAATCTGAACGAAGACTTTTAGGAAAAATCACTGGCAGGGTTTTGGAGTACTGAATGGTGTCATTCAATTGGTGTTAAAACGGTGATCGTGCTCAGGTAAAAGAGAAATTTCAGAAACTGATTTTTCAGTTTTTGCACCAAAATCACAATTATGACATCATCTGTAAGATGACATATGTGTAAATGTTAATTAATTTAGTCACTGAACACTGAAGACCTATCTATTACCCAAAAGAATGTATGTAAGGCAGTAAATAAGGAGTTTTGGGCAAAGGGTGACAATATACTTAAGCTGTTGCTCTTTTGCAGTTAAAGGGTTTGGGTGTTTTCTTTTCATCCTTGGTCAGCATTTTGATGAACTTGCATATGACATCCAACTGCTTAAGAATACCACAAGTAGTAGGTCTGATGCCAAGCAAATGAACTTCAGTATGTTCCACACATGTAGGCATCTAAGGTTAACTTAAGTTTTAAGTAATCTCACTTTCCTGCACTGTGCTTTAATAGGGCATGTAGGTCCAAGCATAATTAATTTAATATCTTTGCTAACCTTTCCAAACCTCCATAAACAGTTCAATGTTGCTAAAGTATCCACATTTTATTTTCCTATAACCAACATGACTTGACATATAAAATCATTTCTAGGCCAAAAATAGGAAAAATAGGAATTTTCTCTAGAAAATATGATAAAATAGGAATATCTTTAAAAAAATCATTATATCATTATTTGGTCAACTCTTTTGTACATGGTATACCTTGGTGATTCAGGCAAGTGTTGGGATTTCCCAGAAAATGAAACTTTCTGATAAACATGCACACACACACACACATGCATGCACAAACACACACACTTTTTACACTAATTGCAGGACTTTTAAAGATTCTCTCCAGCATCTTTTGGGTCTCGAAACATTTTTCTTGAATGATCTTCTTTTAAAAATTAAAGCATGTTGATGTCATTATATCCATCAGCAAACATTTTAGTCACCACTTTTTTAATCTTTAAAAAAATGCATTTGTCAATCCAGGATTTTTCTTTCATGTAACTTTTATGAATAATTCATCAAATGGTAAAAAATAAATAAAATAAATAAATAAATAAATAAAATATAAAATAAAATAAATAAATAAATAAATAAATAAATAAATAAATAAATAAATAAATAAATACACCTTGACCAGGGATTACAGTTTTAAATAACAGTGAAGCAGATGAAAAACATAAAAACAAAACAGTATTTCAGTAAAAGTCAATAACTACCTCCTGCTCCAAGAAAATTATGTAATACATACATGACATTTCTATCAGTCCTTGACGATTACAGTTATCCCCAAGACAGCAAGAGTGGTTTTGAGAGCTGGCAGGGTTAATCTCTGCTGTCCTTGTCATACAAGCATCCAGGTTAATGCATTCCTTGGTAATGCTTATGCCACGTCCTGTGGTAGCAATAAGATCACTACAAGAACTCTGAAAAGATAAAGAATGAACCTTTTCATAAATATGCAAAACTGTCCGTTACTTTGTTTGTACAACTTTTTGTCAAACTACTATTTTCATCACAAAATAATAGATGCCCCCCCCCAAAAAAAAAGACTCATTAACTTCATTTTTGTTTATCAAAGAAGTAAAATACTACAACGTAGTGAAATACTTCCCACTCATAGCACTGAAATATAGACCAAGCTTCAAATATCAGCTTTATCAGCTAGACAACTTATGCTTCAGTTATTAATTTTTTTTCTCCAGCATGCAAATATATTGCATACAATCCTTAACACAGAAATGTAAAGCCAAGACATTTGGTCAATTCCCTCTAATTGACTGGTCCCATTTATTATAATAATTGTGAAATATAGGTTAATTTTGAATAGTGAGTTGTTAACTTGACCATTTTTTTGTTTTTCCCTGACATTTTATCCTTTTCAATGCAATTAATCTATAAATCAAGTAAATTATTTTCCTCAAACGCATTACAGTGGTTCATAGCACTGAAGTAAGAATCACCCTGGAATTATCATCTGGTCTCAAATAGTCAAATATAGGTGAAGATAAAAAGCAGCTTTAATTAATCATTTCCCTTGCATTTATTTCATGCAGCATACAATTTCTTCAACTTCACAGAATTTGTCTATATTTCACCTGATACTTCCTGATATGTGCACTCATTTCTTTTTCTGATATTGGTCTGTACATTTGACAGCTTTGCTGCTTTATTTATGATATCTTTTAAAAACATCTTTTATTATTCCAAAGTAATTTTGCAACAATATCTGCACATGGTTCTGCAGTGAGAGTAAGAAATGTTTTTCTAAGAATGTCCACAACCGTGACTGTGTCAATCAATATATACACCTGGTCAATTAATGTGACAGTGTACATGAAAAACATAATGAACATTGACAATAATATCACATTTAGTTATGCACATAGTTATTATAAAAATTGCTTAAAGACACAAAACTAAAGTCATGATTCCTATAAAGTTTTTTCTTGTGGGGATCTAGAATAAACTTAGCTTGGTTGATGCTATAAATCGGCAATTTTAGGCAACTTGAAAAATCCAAGTGTCAATTCCTGTATAAATAAACTCTAAATACAGGTCTATTATAGTGCTTGGACCATTATTTAGAACTCTAATACTGTAGGTAAACTTGTATTAATGTGGGAAGAAAATACCAATCTAAGTGATATAAGGCAAGTATATGAGGTCAATTGTTCACAATACGTAATAAGAGATGCTAATAAACTATGACAAAAGAAAAAAGACTTGCATACTATACTTAGTCTAATCTATATATATAGGTTCAAACAAGGTTCAAACAATTGTGGACTGTAATCTAGCTACCATTATGCATGCATTAAAATGCATGTACAACTGCTTAACAGTTATGTGTTAGAAGTAATATTCAATAATTCAAAAGTTAAATTATTCTATATGCATGATGATGAATGAAGTAATAAGTTTATCACAAATAAAATCAAATAAAACGTCCACATCCCTGTTTGTATGGTCCACTAAGAACACATGATCCATGTAATCTATGGGTTGGAAAGTCAAGAAGTTGCAAATCTACCTGATGTGTGACGCTGATCAATAAACTGCAGTGTAAAAAACAAGAGTGATTTTTAGATGATGGTGATAAATGCATTATAAGCTCTCATCTATGAACAGAACATACTAGACTAGACTAATTTATTTGCACCTTCAGGCATGTACTGGGATTTAATCATGACTCCAGAGTTGATGGTATTTGATGACAGTGACACCTACATGCATGCATGCAGTGACTTCATCATTCAAAACTGCTCACCTGGCATTAACTCACCACAAAGTACCCAAGTTATGGAGGAGGAACATCACAAGAAAACAGCAGCAGAAATACCATTCTGAATATTCATAAATTAATGAATGAGGCATCATCAATCAACATATGGAGACATTAAAAACTGGAGGCATGCAAGTAGGTTTACTGGGAGAAAGAAAGACTTTTCAGTCCAGTGTCAATTAGTTTATAGGCTCAGATCTATTACGTAGACTTGCAAACATGGTTGAAATGGGTATATTGTTAAACCCACTTTTCAAATATTTAATGATTATATAGGCATATTATAAAAAGGATCATTACATGATAGTATAATTCATGGGTTTTGTAATGAAGTTTATGCAAAAGAATTGGTAACTGAAGAAGCAAAAGAAAATTGTAAATATCTTTATAAAGCAATACATAAATGGGTAATGACAAAAATAGAATGTTGAGCTTATAGCATATTCTCCCATAATTTCAAGCTAAAAAGAGAAGGATTTAGAAAAGAACTAAATACACATAAACAAGCTAATCATGGAAACATTAAATTTGATGACTTTAAATTACAACTAAATAAATAAATGAAAAGTCAGAGAGATTTATGTTACAAAGTTACAGTAAGGAGGAATAAAAAGGTTGAAAAAAGTTCAAAATATTTTCTAAATCTTGAAAAAATACATAATGCCAACAAAAGTAATCCAAAACCAAAGACTTATAGGTATACTGTGTAAGATTACAGTTCATCTTTTGCAAGTACCATAATTATTAGTACCAACTGATGTGTTTATTTGTTTTTTTCTTCTCACTAGCATGTTATTTCACTAATTTACTTTGGTTAATTGCTAATAATAATAATAATATTATTATTATTATTACTTACAGATGAACAGATGACTGGAGAGAAACAGAAAAACATCAAACCTCACATGGATTGAAGGAATTATGACAATTACACCCATCCTTTTCTCACAAACGGCAGATTGGCAAAAACAGGTGATAATGTAGTGTTTTGGGGAGATGAATATACTTTTAATAGCTACTAGTATTATAACAGTGGAACTGACAACTGACATACTTGAATAAAGCCTCCACTAATTATATAATCCTGCATGACAAAAATCACTCAAGAGAGAAATGAAGTTTTCCTGTTATGGCAATGACGTGGGTGTCAGCAGGAGAACTGTGCACACGATAGCAGGCATAAACACAAGGAGCATCATTCAAGACCTTTCAGGTTGACGCAGAAGACACCAGTGGTAGAAAGGGTGCCTAAGCTTGCCTTACCATGGGTGAAAAGCACAATCTGCAAGAGACAGAAGGCTTTCCATTCCTGCCTTTAATACCTACGATAATATTCATGGTAGCTCTGATCATCATAGGTACTTGTGGAAATATGATTGTTGTCTTTGTTTTTAGTTTAAAAAGAAAAAAGAGTACTGCAAACTACTACCAGTTCATTCTGGCCATTCTGGATCTTTTTGCCTGTGTTTTTCTTCACCCATATATAATTTCCAAACTCTTCAATATGGACAACCAGACCAATGTGGTGCCATGTAAAATATTTGAATTCCTGATACACGCCAGTTTGTTATCAGAAGGACTGGTGTTAGTGGCAGTTGCAGTGGACAGATATTATGCCGTTTGCCAGCCAATGAAGTTTGTCAATGCTTTTAACAGAACCAGGGGGATGCTCATAGCCGCTGTCACAGTGGGGGTACTGTTAAGCATCCCCCTACTGCAATTTTATGGTGTTCATACAGTGCAAGAGAAGCCAGCATACAGCAAGTATAACCATACAGTGACAAGATATTTATGTGATTACAGTGACATTTACCAAGGTTCTCTCAGTCAGGGTGTGTTTGGTGCTGTTGTTCTTCTCATGTTTTGTGTTTCCTTGATAACAGTCACAGTGCTTTACTTGGTGATTGCCAAAGCCATCCATGACCGTCGAAGAAGAGTTGAACCTATCAGAAGTATAAGTGCATTTATGACCAAGCCTGGCCCAGACGCTAAAAGATTACAGAAAACGAAAGTTGATTCTCAAAAACAAAGTGTTAGTGAAAACATCCCTTCAAAATATTCCACTGAAGCTTCAACCTCTGACTCAAAATCAACCAGATTTACAGCAAGATCAGAAGAGGTTGCCACGGAAGAAACCCAAGCCAAAAAAGTAACTAATACAGTTTGTGAACATGAAGAGGACACAAACAAACTGAAAAAACTAAACAAGAACACTCCTTTAATGACTAAAGTCTATTTTGAATGCCACCTTGCAAATTCATCTAAAATAGAGTATATCAAAGATAAGAGTGAAGAAAACTGCGAAATCATTGATGATGCAAAAGTAATTAACCTTGAGCAAGAAAGTGGTACCTCAACAGAGCAGAAAAATTATAACATGAAAGAAAGCACCATTCAGCAGGATAGCAGCAGGATTAAAAATGGCAGTCATCTTCACTGCCCTAGCCCAGTCAGTATTAAAACTAATGCCAGTTTAGATGATAAGGTTGGCAAAGGATATTTAGCCAAAGAACATGAAAAAACAAGTGCCTGGAACTGGCCAGATAAGCCAAAGCAGTTAGCCTCCAAGGGCGCAAAAGTCTTGTTCTTAGTTACACTAGTGTTTGCCTTATCATGGGCACCATTTTGGGTAATAAAATTTGCATCTATGATAAACCCAAATTTTTGGCCAGAGAAAACATTTGTTGACATCGCTTTTAAAGTTCTGTTGATGCATGCTTTCTACCTGAATAATGCTATTAATCCTATTCTTTATACCTTAATGAACAAGGCTTTTGCTACAGATGTCAAAGATGTTGTAAGGAAACTTAGGCAAAGACTACAACCAGAACTTTGAACATAAAAGTTGGTTATTTAAAAACAAAAATCTAGCAACTGAAGGGGCATGACTGGGAAAAACATGAACAAGGTGGTGGTATCAGAAAGGTACCCTTTGACTAAAAGGAACAAACATTTAGTAAGAATCATTTTTAGATGAATGTTATATACTCTTCACATAAAGGTGAATAATGAGTGTTGCATCCTAAAAAAAGGCAGTAGTGGATGGAACTGATAATGAATTATAGGGCAAAACAATTGGGATGGTGTGTGTTTGAGAGAGAGAGAGAGAGAGAGAGTGTATGTGTGTGTGTCTGTGTGTGCGTGCATGTATATGTGCATGTCTGCATATATATATGCAGACATGGGGAAACTATCAGTCTGACAGGTCATGACTGCTTGAAATGCCAAAGGTCCTGCAAGATCTATGATAATAGGTTCTCTGGATTGGCAAGGTTTATGTGCAAATACGATTCTTCAATAATAAATCACATATCAACATAGACCTAAAGATAAAATACTTAGACCCCATTCCCATAGATTTTAGATTGATCTATCCCTGTGGGGAATCTCACTAGATTACTGTCAGCTTAGCTGACTTAAGCGTCTGTCCCGCCTACTAAAAGCTGTAAGGGGGTAATTAACTATGGTGCGTGCTCGGCTGACTGCAATTTAGTGTGAACCCCCAGGGAGTTAGGTCGATCTTAATCTTAAATCTCTGGATCGATCTAAATCTCTGGGAATGCACCCTTAGTTTGGACCAGGACTGAAATGGGAGGACCTGCAGAATTCTTGCAGTGCAGCCCCCCCCCCCCAACCTTCAGTATTTCCAAAATTTTCTCCATGTCTGCATATGGGCCTTAACATATACTAAATGCACAAAGGAGTAAGATCAATTGTAATTTCATTTATTAACAAAATGTTTTTTCACAAAAATATGAAGTGAGGGTCTTTGGATACATCCCTTTATGTCCTGGCATTGTTTTTAAAGTCTATTTTGTTACTAATGATCAGAATGACATTATATATGTTTAGCCTGTAACTGAATTATACTATTGTGATTGAAAGCAGTGCGTATATATAAACATTTATATTGTCCCCTTATTTTCTAAATAATATTATTGCACAATTATATATAAATGGACTTGTTGCATCTACCTCACCTGAGAGTGCTCCATGTACTGTAGTATGTAGAAGGTGTATTAGGAATTAAAATTGTCAGCACATTTGCAATTATTCCATTACTCAAAATATCAAGCTGTGCATGTTACAGTCATTGTTACCATTATTGAAAATGACACCTGACAATCATTGCTAAACATCATGTGAAAATATAAGGAAAAATGTCCACCTTTTTTTTAATGCACATTTTTATGGTCGTGTCATTACGAATACTTTCTTTTGTGTATGAAAACTTTCTATTTGTTCCTGTTGTTCACTACAACTGACATGCTGTCATATATCAAGGAGTTATAACAGATAACTCCTTGCATATATGAATGCCTCATTTCTGACAAATAAAAATTTTAAAATGTAATAAATAACAGTGTTAAATGTTGTGTATTACTAACAAAAATAACTGACTCCTATTTCCATGTCTTTTTTTCCCATCCTATCAATAATACCAGGCCTCTGCCATCGTTGCTAATGCTAATTATTTTTCAATATCACGAGAAAGAGACCTTAATTTGATTGCTTCCCATTACAGTAATTTCAAATCATAGCTTAAAACTGATGGAAATCAAAGAGCATTAATCTCACACGTTGTCAGCCAATGATAATATTATTAGTGCACTGATGTGCTTGTATCTCATCACGCACTTCCTGTGCACATGATATTCGATTCTTTTTTACAACACAGACTATTCATGTCACAGCTTTAAAACTTTATCTCAATCCATGATCGATGCTTGGCACCCAGTGAGAATATTATTTCGGTACAGATTAGTGCACTTTTAATTGCTCATTGATTTAAATGCATGAAATCTCTGTGGGTATAGGTAAAAATGAAAATAAAACAGTTGGTGGCTATATTTTCATTTTTTTATCCTAAGTATAAGACTATAAAATGATATCTGGTCAGTATTTTTTTTAAAGATTTTTTTGTCTTGGACACCTGGGAAGACCTCTTTCATTGCCTATTTGTATTTTGTTTTCATAAAGTCATGATAGTAAAATGAAGATTGCCAAGACATAGAAACACAAGGCAAATATTGTGGTAGATGTGCATTCCATGTCAAAGGACACGTCTTCACAGCTTTTGACTAATGGAAACAAGATGTGCAAAGAGGAATTTATTCCCAGGAACTTTTCTGTGTCAGTGATATATTGACTGTCAGTCCCTCAGCTTTTGGGTTTCCTCATTTACACACATTTTAACTCTTAATCTTTTAGCAAGAACTTCAGCAGTTATATCATGCTTCAACATCTAAAACAACAACTGCCAATACACACACACACACACACACACACACACACACACTGTATATAGTTAAGTTTAGAAATCCATGTCCTTAAATTTATCTTAATAAATACTTACAAATGCTGAAGCACACCTTTGGGATAAACATGAATTTGCCAAGGAAACATTGGTGCAAGTGTAGCAGTTATTACTAAAGGGCAGTTCTGAAAGCAATAAAATGGTTAGAAAAGTTAATAATTAAACCACATTCAAATTATATTTTATATGTCTGATTAGTAATGTGTCAAGTTTCAATACTATTAAATGTGCATTGCAGCAGGTACAGCTAACACATTTTATGTATTTGATTGAAGACATGAATCGCTGACTCATTATTTTATTTATTAATTTTTTTAACATATATATTTTTATGATGCAGTCAATAGCAGACAGACCTAGGTTAACATTTAATGCTTCAACAGCCTGCCTTAGACTTCCTCCTTGTGTACAATGAATACTGTCTATAATATGGCTCTGAGAATGTCTCTGTTGAAGGAATGTGTACACAGCAATGGCTGGAGGTATGCAGTTCATAGTTAGTACCCTATAATAAAGTTGAATTATTTCATTTATTCAGTTATTGTATATCACATGAAACTTGCAGATGTGGTATTTTATTCTTATATGGAGTGAAGCAAAGGGGTACACAATGTTCCCTTTTTATTTGTGTTTATCTGCATGTAAAAAGAAAAGTTAGGGATATGAGGGGGCCGTGGGGGGAGGGAGAGGAGGGGAGGGTTAGATTGGGGAGAGGTATTCCCTGCAGGTTTTTGTAATAATCTGCAAAGGGGATGTTAAAGACAATGCATTACCATCCACATTCATGCACTACTTACAGACTTGACAATCTTGGTGTGTTGATGAAGGCATCAGGAGCAATATATTGGACAGTACCCAATGTCCTGAAATGAAAATTTCTAAATGTAGAAAAAAAGGAAACCACTAGTTTAAACACACTCATTTACATCAGATGCAGGAGTAAATGAGTCTTCAATATGTTCTCTTGCTCATCTCCTTCATTTTGATATTATTATTATTATTATTATCATTATTATGATCATTATTATTATTATTAAACAACTTAACTAAATTTATGAATGCAAAAGTCATACATGTATTTGAAGGTATACTTTTACAATTCCTTATTTTTACTTACAAATTAGTGAGAGACCTCAGACCCACAAATGTGTTACGATAAATATTTTCTACACTGGATTTAATTGACCTAAAATCAAACAAAAAAGAATATCAAATTTATTACAAATAATCTTATTGAAAAGTCTTTTTACTGAAACTGTCATCCCATGGGTAAGATCATTTGTGGTATAAGTAATATTATAACAAGGTCCAGGCAAAATGCCCAACCCCCTATTAACATCCTGCCAGATAACTTATTGTAGATTTATAAAATCTATAGATGGAAACATGTACAAAACATAATCTAATGTTAGTACAACCATTAACTTGGACATAATTTAAGTCAATTTGGCTTACAAAGATATCAATTTGAATAATCCTTCAAAAGCAAACTCTTCGATTCTCTGAATGGTAGTGTTGGACTGCATGTACCTAGAACAGCAAAGTTGTTTTAGATAATAAAATGCCTTTTCAGTACAAGTACAGTTGGGACATTTGCTAAAACTTAATTAATTTTTCTTTATCAAAATATGGAATTAGTAATGAATGGTATTTACTTTATTATTATTTCTTTTATACTAATTGTGCCCTTTAAACTTAAGTGCTTTCTCTCTGTTTGTTTTCACATATTGGGTCAAAGGAAACTAATCATGCCCCATTTCTTTTAATTTTTTATTTCACGTGTAGGGTCAAAGGAAACTAATCATGCTCCATTTCTTTTTTTTATTTGCTGCTTATGATCAATGGGGCATCATCCTCATTTTGCCTCAGTTTAAGACTTTACTCTAGGTAATACTGAATGTAAGTGGCACATTTAAGCTTTTAAACTGAGGCAGTCTCATATCTCAAACACTTCACTGGTATTAGAGGAAGCCAACTACAAAAAATTGCTCTTATAGTTTTCAGTGCAAATCTACAGGTGACCTTATGTACAGGAAAGTATGTACATGCAAAGGTGACAAGAACATATTCAAAATTAAAGTAGCGCTAATGACTTCAGAATGTGTGTATGAAGGAGTGAAGACAAAGGATTTTTTAAAAAATTTTACAAACACAAGCAGAAACTTGAACCAACACGTACCCATGCAAGTGAGCAAAAAGGTACAATATGGACGCATTCATAACAGAATTGATCCGCCGACTAACAGATCTGCAGATCAAACATGGCCGACCCACTTAAAAGCTTACCACATAATTCCCTAAAAGACACTGAATAAATTCCCAGCGGGGATTAGGTGACCGGCTTTTAAGTGGGTCAACCATATTTGATCCCCTGATCTGTTAGTCCACTTATCAACTCTCTTGTGAATGCTCTCTTTCAGTTACTTCATGGAGTGAAAAAGAAATAAAGAGCAAAAAGTAAAAACAGTGTATTCATACTTACAGCAGGGTCAAGTTCGTGAGGTTTCGAAATATGAACCCTGGCACATCATTAAATGGATTGTCACCGAGTAACCTGAAGAATGAGAATTATAGCTAACATTAAAGGGATAATAACTCTTCATATGAGATCTATATTTCACAATAAAAACTCACAGAAATATAATATATCCTGTTTTACCACAAAAACGGCAGTTATAGCTATTATTCTGATATCTGAGCTTGTCTTTAGACCACGTGACCTCCATTGATGGCTATACTCTGCTAAAATCTCTTAAGAGATTTTAACAAAAAACCAAACTTTTTAGAAAAAAACCAGGGACTAACTTTGAATGTAAAAATGGATTCATTAACCAGTGGTAAGTATGGGAAAATTGTTGTTTACTTCAGGAAAATTCATTTTTTGGCCGAAACGAAGAGTTATTATCACTTTAATTCATTTTGTAAAAAACTTAGATACACAAATAAAATTGTCATTTCTAGTCATTTTTGGTTATTTTCTGAATATTTTTGTCCCTTCGGGAGTTAACCAAAGGAAGAGGTGGTCATTTTAACACATTTAATTTTTACACATGCCAACATGACCAATCGAAGACATATCAAAGAAACTTAAAAAAAAGGTAAATTAACTAAACAGTGTAAATTAACACAGAACTTAGTACATGCTATGCATGAAGGGCTGAAACTAAGCAATTAAGGCACTAATTGGCCACTTCCTCAGTTTCCTTTGGACTCTTTGCCACCTTTCTGACCCAGTGTATTTCCAAACGTCTGCCACAAATTACTGTCCACTAGACAACTACAGCACAAACACAACACCAAAGTGATTTGGACATTTGATTTCAACAGCCCCAAGACCAAAATATGTACATGTACACCTGATATTCCCATCTGGTGACCCTGCCAAAAATGTGGCATCTCAGAAAAGAACAATCCAGATTTTAAACTACTACTTGAGTTTTGCTGTGATAGATTATGAATGTTCAGATCACTGGGGGTACAATATAACTAGTTGAGGTGATTTTGGTGTGCTGCATTTGGCTTCCATACAGAACCAACGCATTTTCCTCATTGAGTCTCCCCGACTCCAGGACAAGAACTTTTAGTGACTGGCTGTGAGGGTTGCAGGTTTGTCCAGTTGTCGGCCTTACAAGCTCACGGTAAGAATACCCTGAGCTTGTAAGGGCGAAAACTGAAAACTGAGGCAAGTTGCAGGTGTACGTCGGTGGTCGTTTTCAACACATCCCATTGTAACCGATTCTGCTATGATTCTTCCAGCCGGCCGCTTTTGGTGCCATGCTATAAAAATGGAAGAGAAGCGAGAAACATTACTTTTTTCTCTGCCTTGGGACCCGATCCCTCAAGCATTCAGAGTATCCACTGAAGCACACCACATCAGTTCCAAAAGGCTTTGAAGAGTGTAGAAAAGATTTTTCCTCAATTTGTGAGTGGGCGAGGCAGTTTTTTTTTTTCACGGCAAGATTTCCGCTTTCTTTTGCGTCGGAACTGTAGGCTAAAGATCGAAACTGCGAGGTGTTAGTCTCTTTCTCCTTAAAACTCACCTTCGTTGCTCAAAATTTCAATATCTGACAAACTAAGGTTCGAAAGGCCTGAAAGAATTCCCTAAGAGGTCATATGTTAACTATAAATGAGTAATAGACAAGACTGAATGCTGTGAATGAGGGTCGTGAGAAAGAGGTCAAGTCACACGCATGCGCATTTTGGAGATTTCGCCCATTCATTATGTTCATTCAGAGTACAGACACATATTGTACCTGTATAAAGGGCCATCACCTGCGTCCGTCGATGCCGTCCCAGTGCACTTTCAGATATTATACGATATGTTGAAAACCGCTTAGCCTGTTGTCCCCAAAGTTAGAGCTACAAAACTGATGGATATTGATAAAATACAGGTCTTGGACCACGCACGTCTCACTTGCAAACTTCTCGCAAACTCCATGCAGCCATGCTGCCTCGCTATTCGCAGACTATTCGTAGAATCTTTTGGACATATCCAACATCCTCCGTACGTGCTTACGGGCTGTCTGCGAACTCCAAATTTCGCAAGAAGGTTTTGCGCGGCACGTGAGCTTCTGCGCAAAATTTGTACGCAAACAGGCCGTAAGAGCCAGCACGGCCGGTTGTGACCGAGGCTTTACGATTTTCCAGTCTAGTCAAAAGTTCAGTTAAAGCCTCGGTCACAGCCGGACTCACGAATTTCAGGATCGTACGTCCCCTGCGATTTCTGGATGTTGCGGAGGCCGTGGAGGTTGTAGAGGTAGAGGAAAGTATGCCTTGTGAGTCGCAAGGGCCACATGAGATGTCCTTTCAAGCAGGGACGCTAATAATTGCAAGGAGCGATGGCCATGGAAATCTCATTTCTTGAATTTGTCTTGCTTCCTGTGTACGTGGCACACACTCACCACTTACGAAGGGAATGCAAAGCACGGCGAAAGTAGTGCCCTTTTGCGTCAGTTTTGCTTCACTCTTGCCTCACACGTTTGTGGGGCGTACGTCAATTTTGCTTCCTATTCTCTTCTTCTTTCTTCTTCCTCCTCCCCTTTTTCTACTATGTAAGCTTCTTTTTCTTGCCTTTTGGAGGCATATTAGAAACTAAATTGAGAAAAAATGGGAAAATTTTGAAAATTGTTGTACACGTTACACAGTCGACGTTCATCGTAAAGACACGAGCGTGCGTCGTGAGCACGCCTTTTATACACCAGGCGTGGGGGTGACGCAGTTGCGACGCATTCCCAGTGTGCTTTCGACTTTGTTCGTTAGTTGTGAGGGCGTGCACCTTAGACCTACTCATCACGCAAAGGGCACTTGCTCCTTCATTGCTTGCGACGTGAGTCTTGCAAAACGCGCGTCTCTCTTGCTAACTCAGTGCAAGGGGAGCAAGTTACGCTTGCGGTCTCGCAGTTCGCAGGCTAACGTAGAATCTTTTGGACATGTCCAACATCCTCCGTACGTGCTTACGGGCTGTCTGCGAACTCGAAATTGCGTAAGAAGGACTTGCGTGGGACGTGAGATTCTGCGCAAAATTTGGACGCAAACAGCCCGTAAGAGCCCGTACGGCCGGTTGTGACCGAGGCTTTAGCTTGACAATATCGTAGAGGCCGAAAATCCGTACGGCCACGCACGGCCACGTCTGCCTCCGCTCAGACGCCGTACGTGTATCATACGGATATCGTATAGCAAATGTAACCTAGTAAATTACATTTACGGAATACTTACAATATTGTCGTTTCTTTTGGCACATTAGGCACATCTCCCTCTAAAATATCACGCAGATTGTTTATACCCCTTGACTGGCAGTCTGTGGAACCTGTGGCTGATGAAAATATACAGGTCGGCTGAAGTGGCGGCACGGTGGCGGCACCTTCAAGCTTCGATATCCAAACTTGAGACAAGACGAAAATGAGTCCAAACTTCACGGCATATGTATTCCAGGAATGAAGATTTTGTTTTAACCGCTGCATTTTTTTTCGGTAGATTTGGTGAAGTTCTGGGTTTAGTTCGTCAAATCTGAAATGAGTCAAAAATGTATAATCTGTAGATACATATATTCATAAAAATTATAACGTTATCAGACGAAGAATTCAACCTATCTGCATTGTGAATTCAACTGTGGATAGTAACAACATAATATCTCATGAACTGTTGGCTCACTTACAGGATAATACATGAAATATTTTCTCTTGCCGCATTACTGTAAATAAACCAAGACGGTTAGCTAAAAATGAGACAAGTGCGCCGCATAAATCGAAAGAAAAAACTCATGTGAAGGCAATCGCAATCCTTAATAGGAAAGACGGTACTTAAACAATCTGGAACGGAGGTGAAATAAAGAACAGATCTCTTCGGAGTTTCTCGTTTGTATATCTGTAATGCCATTTTTAAATCTAGGGCCTGTCATCCCCTCACAGACAGTAATTGAGACAGATAAATATTGTATGAATAAGCGATTTCGAAAATAAGCTATTTACATTTAGGCTCAAGTCAGTTATTCAGAGTTTTTTCAGGCGTTTTTCAATTATTTCACCCAAAAGCTTGTCGCTCCATAGACTAGGCCCTATGCTCTTTGGCTTGCTAATAATTTCTTCTTCCATTCGGTGTTACAAAAACGAGAAATATATCATCCAAATTTAATTTGAGATTAATTAAGATATGATTGGTATTCGATATAATTAAAGATGTTTCCATTTTTAGGTGTACGTTAAAAATCGTGTGTACAGAAATAACAACCACTATAAAAAGTTTATTCTTACAATGGCATACATCGTTCTGAGATAAATAGAAGGCCTCTTATTAACTTCATTTAACCGAGGAAAGAATCAAATCTAGCGACAGTGTTATTTGTGGAAATAACAGGACTTCTAAATCGTCTAGGTTCAGATTAAGAGGTGACTCATACATGAAAGAAAGGTCAACTAAAGCATAGAGTTTTTAAGTTAAGACGCTAGGTTAAGTTTATTCCACAAAAGAGGATGTGCACTGTGATGTTCAGTTGAGTGTAATAATCGCAATTAATACACAGCGTTGTGTTTCATGTTAGTTATTTGTGTCTAGTGCGTCTTCTTTCGTGTATGCCACGTTTACTTAAAACACTTTTCCTTTTTCTATTAACGACATTTTGGTTGAATCTAACTTGTTTGAAAAAATGTTATATCATTAGAATAAGCATAAAGGAAACAAGGTCAAACATTTTTTATAGTTCAGAACGGACTTAGATAAATAATTGTTATAAGAACTATAAAACCTTGTGTAGTGATTATTGGGTCAAATATGGTCCACTGATTACCAAACACTGAATGTTTCCTCACTAAATCAATATAATATTGTAATAATGAAAGACCAACTGGCTTTTTCACTTCGAAGAATCCGTCAAGAGATTAGTGAAATACAGGAAGCTCAATTCAAAATGTAACAAAAGTAAAGCGAGTCAATATTGCAATTGAATATACCAAACATGATTTTAATCATGACCTAAAAGTCACATGACTATGGTTATTGAATCTAACTCACACCTTTTGGTGCTTTCCAGTCTGATTTTCCACTCGAGACCGGCTGTAAAAAGATTGAGATACTCCGACCATCTCATTCTGTCCAATTTTTCGCTTACATCTGCATATATAGTCTCTTTGGTAGTTTTTACTTCATAAACGTGTGACCAAGTTGTTTGTCCTGCGTCATCGACAGGAATGGGTACATGACAGTGCTGTCAATATACAATGTCGTGTATTACGTACTTCTTTTCACAGAAATACTTCCAAGGCAGCACTATTGTTTTACTTACCTACATATATCTACATCTGTATCTAGCGCTCTTTCGTGTTACTGATATAGGGCTGCGCGATAACATTAGCACCGTCACTAACTTTGGCTACGAAAGTGTCTGTGATCAACAGTATTTAAAACCTCCGATATATTGCTGTGCTGCAGTGACCTGGCCCTCTGTAGCTTCCTTGTCCCACGATCGAGATCTATTGGCAAAGCTAGAACGGGCGGGAACAGACAACGTCTATTCACTCTGAAATAACCAACAATGCACTGAAACTCATAAGTGTCGTGCAATGCGGATGTTACGTGGAACGCCAGTACCTGGCAGTGCGAGTCCTAGATTTCAGTCCCAACAGTGTGCAATATCACGTTTGCCGTGCACAATTGGCCTGGATGCTTTTGTATGCTTTAAATAAATATAGGGGGTGACTGCTGAACGACGAGGACGTCCCACGGCAGAGTATTGAACGCTTTTAAAAACAGCAACAATAATAATAATAATAGCTGCGATGGCGTTCTTACAACGAGGCTTTGGAGTTATTATTATTTTTACTGTGATAAGCATTTGAGAAAACGGAGGCTGAATATGATTGCCAAAGGTAGATGCCATGTACGTCTTGTGCCTCTGGCTCTGACCAGGGAATTATATCCGATATAATTCCCTGCTCTGACTGACCTTGGAAGGAACAGCCAAGATCTGTAAGAAATGCAACTGGAACTGTGACCGAAGATGCCTTCTAAGACGATCTTCCCATGCCTAGATCGATCTAACAGGATCGATCTATCTCCAAAGGGTTTCTAGCTAAATTGCTTTCATCTTAAGCGGCTTAGATGTCTGGCACGCCTTCTGAAGCTGCTAAACGATAATTTATAACCCCCAAGGAGCTTCAGTAGGCGTGACAGACATTTAAGAGAACATTCCCAGAGACTATCGTACTAACTTTGGATCGAACCATCTCAGAGGGGATTTTCGCTAAATTGCAATAAACCTGGGCGGCTTAAGCCTCGGTCACAACCAGACGCACGAATTTCAGGATCGTACGTTCCCTGCGATTTTTGGGTGTTGCGGAGGCCGTAGAGGTCGTAGAGGTAGAGGAAAGTCTGTCTTACGAGTTGCAAGTGCCACATGAGATGTCCTTTCAGGCAAGGACGCTATAGCAAGGAGCGATGGTCGTGAAAATTGTACTCATTACTTGAGTTTGTCTTGCACACACTCACCACTTACGAAGGGAATGCAACGCACGGCGAAAGTAGTGCCCTTTTGCGTCAGTTTTGCTTCACACTTGCCTCTCACGTTTGTGGTGACGTACTGACGGTTTGTGGTGACGTACGTCAGTTTTGCTTCCTGTTCTCCTCTTCTTTCTTCTTCCTCCTCCCTTTTTTCTACTACATGTATGTAAGCTTTTTTCTCTTGCCTTTTGGAGGCATATTAGAAACTAATTTGAGCAAATATTTGAAAATATTGAAAGTTTTTGTACTCGTTACACAGTCGAAGTTCATTGTAAAGACACGAGCGTGCGTCGTGAGCACGCCTTTTATACACCAGGCGTGGGGGTGACGCACGTGCAACGCATTCCCGGTGTGCTCTCGACTTTGTTCGTTAGTTGTGAGGGCGTGCGCCTTAAGCCTAGGTCCCAACTGCGTTTTGGACGCACGGTTTTTAGGTTCCTTGCGTCCGGCTAGGACGTAGCTAGATCGCACGTAGCGGCTGTTGATCATGTAGACAAGTTTCTACGTGCTGTTTGCGTCCTCCAAAAGTCGCACGATGGACGTGCTCCTCATGCACGAACTCCCACGTTTTCCCCATTTTTTGGCTGTAGACCACACGCAGCAGCCCGTACGTTCGGTTGGGGCCTAGGCTTTACTTGATTTCTTCCCTGCGATCTAGCTACGTCCTAGACGGACGCAAGGAACCTAAAAACCGTGCGTCCAAAACGTAGTTGGGACCTAGGCTTTACTCAACACGCAAAGGGCACTTGCTCCTTCATCGCTTGCGACGTGCGTCTTGCACAACGAGCGCCTCTCTTGATAACTTCGTGCGAGGGGAGCAAGTTACGTTTGCAGCCTCGCTGTTCGCAGGCTATTCGTAGAATCTTTTGGACATGTCCTACATCCTCCGTACGTGCTTACGGGCTGTCTACGAACTCGAAATTTCGTAAGAAGGCCTTGCGTGGGACGTGAGATTCTGCGCAAAATTTGGACGCAAACAGCCCGTAAGAACCCGTACGGCCGGTTGTGACCGAGGCTTTAGATGTCTGTCGCGCCTGCTGAGGTTGATAGGGGATAATTCACTATCGTTTAAACCCTTTTTACACTGGACGGCGTCCTTTCTGCGTCCTTTGTGCGACCATGAAACTGGCCAGGACGCCGTCGGACGCTCAAAGAACGCACGGTGATCGTTACGGTCGCACAAAGAACGTTCAAGCATCGCCGAGGACGCCATGGACGCCGCGAAGTTTTGAGCATGTTCAAAACAATCGCAGAGAGAACGCGATGGAGGATGATCGCTCATTGGACGCAGAAAGGACGCACAAGCATCGCCGTGGTCGCAGAGAGGACGCTCAAGCACTGCCGCGGTCGTAGAAAGGAGGCACAAGTATCGGTTTGGTTGCAGAATGAAAAACTCGAAGATCGTCCAGTGTGCGGCACGTAGAACATTATTTTTTTCACTCTCAAACGGGGTCGTGCTGAGGTATTTTTCACCAAACAGGAATACTAAAGGCAACAGTGGTCTCATATCAGCTTTCGATTGTTTTTTCCCCTAAAATTTATGAAAAGATCCTTTTTTTGAGGTTATTATAAAACGAATATTTTGCCTTTTTTACAAGATGCATTAATTGTCAGAACTTTTTGCAAAATGCGTTATTTGAAAACGGATTCAAATATTCTATGTTGTGTCAGGCATACTTTCTCGTTTTTGGTGCCTGTCCATCCTTCTTATAAGGATAACAATGAGCATCTGGCTGATTATCAGTCCATACAGACCTTGCATCACTATAGTTTAAAGCGAATATTCCCATTTATCTGATTTGTGTGCTGGAAATGTTTTTATTGGATGACCTGTTTAGAACCGATGAAAAAATATGAGTTAGAATATAGAGAAGGACGCCCAAACAACGCTCATCGGTCAAGCAGGATGCAGAATGATCGTAGAATAGACGCCACTGATCGCCGATGAAGGTACAGAGAACGCAGCAAGAATGCTCAATGGTCGCTCAAACATCGCAATGGACGCCTTGGGTTGCACAGGGGACGTACAGTGGAGGCAGGCAGATCGCTCGTTGTTTTACAGGTAAAATCAAGATTCGGTCGTTCAAAGGACGCACAAGGGACGCAGAGGCCTTTACACTGAGACACGATTTAATTGCTTTGGCGACCATTGAGCGTCCTGACCACTTTTTTGAACGCAGAAGGGACGCAGAAATGACGCCGTCCAGTGCAAAGGGGCCCTTAGCAGCTTATAGTGGGCGTCCCAAACGTCTAAGCCGCTTGGGCTGAAAGCAATTTAGCGAGAGACCCCGTGGAGATGGACCGATCCTGTTAGATCGATCTAGGGATGGGAACCCAGTCTAAGGCTCTATTCCCATAGAATTTAGATCGATCTATCCCCGCGGGGAGTCTCACTAGATTACTTTCAGATAATCCGACTTAAATGTCCGTCCCGCCTACTACAAGCTGTAAGTGGGTAATTAACTTTCGTGTCCGCCCGGCTGATAGCTATTTAGCGTGAACCCCCAGGGAGTTAGGTCGATCTAAAGTAGGTCGATGTAATTTATGGAAATGGGGTGTAAGCTGCTGAAGTTGACAGCAATTTAGCGAGAATCCTCTTGGAGATAGATTGATGCAAAGTTCGCACGATAGGGGCTGGGAATGGTCCCTATATGATTGCCATCGGATGGGTTGGTCCAAGAAATGGGAGACAAAATAACAACTAGACATCAAGTTCATCAAGTAGAGGCTGATGTTAATCTACCCGGTAGATGTGATCCTCATATCTACGGTCGCAGTAGCCTACTACATGTAGTCGCAGTTCTAGTCACAGTTCTCAAAATATTTGAAAGGTTTAGTTGTATATCTCGGAATGAAAGACATGTACAAGACGATCCGACTTGGTGAAATGTGTTTCATTATTTCGTTTAAGTCACGAAGACAATGAGATTATGATATACGGTAGTTTGTAACTGTGACACAAGTAAAACTTGATAGAATTAAAATACATATGTCGATGAAACCAGACAAAATGGATAAGTTGGTTAACGAGCGGCCACATTCTGTAATATTGGTCGGTAGACGAAATCAATTTTATATTGTTATTTTTAAACATTTGAAGTTTAACTAGCATAGCAGCTATGTCAAATCCACATTGGGCGATTTAAGAGCATAAAACGCAAAATGTTTTTTTCTTTTTTTTTTTTTTGGGGGGGGGGGGATCAATTGTAAATTTTTCCAACATACCAAAAATAACTTTATGCTTTTTTATTTGAATAAAAAAAAGGCGCGAAAGAAATTGCTCATATCAGGGTAGGTCGCGCACCATCACTAAATCGTCACTATTGTTTTGCTTAAAATTATAACCGCAAGCACACTCCAACCCATATCGACTCTCAGCCCTTGCTCTGAGTCCCAACTGACACAATGAGATAAGTTTGTCTGTCTACAAATTAAAAAGTTATATGTTTTCTATTTTTCTTTTCCTGTGACTGTGTCACTTGTTAAGACGACAAAGATGAGCACTTTTGATTGAATTTATTAAACATACAGCAATATTTATAATTAATGCAGCCTTCTTTAATGATATTCCCAACCGTTGCAACTTCATTTTATGAAATCCTCTCACTGGTACGGTAGAACTATGACAGTTACTTCCACAATTCCGAATCCAAGATGTAATTAAGAACATACCCCTGAAACATAAAAGTAAATTCGTGAACTAGATCGAATAACTGTGTAATACAGAAAAAAGAAAAAATCTCTTTTAAAAACACTGTAAATAAAAAAACCACTTCATTGCAGCTACTAGAGCATTTCAATTGCATTTGATCAATTAGGATTCGACCTGTACAATGTAGAAGAAAAGAGGAAACCAAGTCAATGATTAAAATAATATAAGTTTTATAAACGCGCATCCAATCATTAAGTAACGTGATATTACACGCCGAGGTTTATTGCATTGAATTACAAATTGGCACCAAAATAGAATTGTATATAACAATGTATATATAGAAGCACCGTAGATACATGTAATTGCCGATTTCAATTCGGGATCTCTTTACCGAAAAAAAAAAACACGATTTGATATCGCGTACGGAGATCTTGGACCCATTATAATAGGTACAAGCAGAAATAAACTCCCTCTCTCCCCAGCTCCACCAGTTCAAGTTACCTAACTAGACCTGTCACTGTAGTCGTATGTTAACTTATTAGTCCGTTTTAACAGCGTAGAGGGAAATAATTAGCAAGAAATACTCCACCAAAAGGATTTTGATGGAGCTTGCGATACTTAACCCGAAATGTATAATGTCATTATATCAGTTAATTATTAATATTACACGTTTTTTATAACAGACAATCACGGACCCATCTCGTATTACTCGGAAAGGAAAAGATATAATTAAATAATAACTTTTCGTTTGTTCCATAGCATCATGTTGTAAAGTTGATTCTTCAGACTCCCAAATGTGTCCAATAAAAACGCATGTCTACAGTATGTCTTTTCAGCATTTTATCAAACTTTCACAATTTTTCCAGATCTATAACTTTGCTTTACCCATGATCACATCTCTACCTTTCATTGACCCTGTGTCTTATGCCATTCCATTAGTAGTTGTATGGAGTGGTAACATAAAATCAATTTTTGATGTAAGATTTTACTTTTCCGTAATACTTCATATCCATGAAGCACTGTGGTGCCCAGTTTATATACTTTGGCAGCTAAATCGTTTTACCAAGCACTGACACACCGACACGAGAAAGGTTGATCAAACAAGAAATAGGCTTGATTTATGGAAGATTTGATGACAAGGGCAATGTTCGCGACAAGTTCAAATTAGGATCACTCCTGATTTCCAATCACATAAATGTGACTTGATTATCCGGAGCACAATTCCTTTTACCGACACAGCAACAATGAATATAACAATACACGCCCTAGTCTAAACCCGATCTCCCTTTTCATTGTACAGTTTGGCTAAACTGAGCTACTCATTTCTTCATTGCACGCTTGTCAAAGCTAAACGTTAAAACCTAATTCCTCAAATGTTCGCAAAAGCTTTTTTTGCTTTCAATTTAAGACTTATCAACACGACGCCGTTATTACGCAAAAAAAGTATTGTTCGTTGAGGAAGAATTCGATACCCAATCGTCTGACGTTGACATCCGGCCGCCGCCCCTGCATATTTATCAACAAATATAAGATCACGCATTGTGTTCGCCTGAAAGAATACTACACATGAGAACACCCAATAAAGTTAGAATTCAGGACGTCACACTGCTAGGTCCAGGGTATTCAAAACTAAAGTATATCTGACTGGGCGATACAAGTGAAGGCTCAGCGTGTGAAGAGCCTGTTCGCGCACTTGGCTGGCTGTTTATAGATTGATCTCTAGATCACGGGACGAGGGATTTACAGATGGTTTTAGTCACTACAATATGTACGACTTGAATTAGCACTGATAATCACAGACAGCACTTGATACCAGTTGCAGTGGCAGTGATAACGTTGTATTTGGACGGCCTGATACAATAACATTGTTGAGAGGTGAGTTGGGCAGATTTGTTAACTTGACAAACTTCAGCAAAGAGGGAAAACTTGATTATAGACACAATATACTGACAGCAATTTCCTGTGATACTTAGTGATCTATAATGAATGGATCCATTCTATGCGCGGGGCCGGGCCACCCAATCCAGTAGGCTGCAAGCACAGGGTACATGTGTAAGTAAAACCATCACAGGACATGAGAAGATTTAAATCAAAATATGAGAAAGAGTGTTGTAGTAAAGGCATCTAGCTACACTGTAAATCAGATCGTCCCAGCAAAACAAAATATACGAAAGAGTGCAATAGTCGAACACATAGCTAAATTAGTTCGATTCCTGTCTGTCCCAGAAAAAGAATATTTGCAAAGCACGTGGAATTGTAGCTTATAAGTATCAATATTTAAGTATTAAAATTGATATTGTCACTAAATTTTCAAACAGTTCTATTATTTTTTTTATTGACAGGCTTGTCTTTTCGCTTTGTATTTGACATTAAATTGTGCCCTTTTTAATGAATTTTGGAGGGCTTTGTAACGTGAAATGCCCAATGGCAACATTTTAATATTAAAATATTAATTCCCAGGTGTGGCTAACTATTCTCAAACACAGTGGGCTAGATTTGGATACATTTAGTATTTCGTTATGTATGGTTTTTGTGACGCAAACATTTATCATATCTTAGTTTGATAACATACTGCTCTATTTTAGAATCATGCTAATGCTCGATAAAGATAAAGTTTATATCCGCTGCCAGTTAAGAATTAACACGTTTGAAGTCATTGTTACCCTGGTTATTTCTCAATGTTCTTTCATTCTTTTAAACAGTTTAGTTAACAGTTTAATTAAAATTCACGATAAGTTCCTAAAATTACATAACGTTTAAGTTAAAAGGGTGCGTTGGACCTTGCCATCTCTTTTTGCTACCCTGGATTTTCAAAAAAAAAAAAAAAAGTGCTCCTTGCACGCCTACACAATATATATAATGTGTATTGTGCTACCGTGTGTGATTCACTCCCAGTGAGTTTGATAATAACAAGTCTAAGTCAAAATTAGTCAATATTTTATAGTCACTAGATTAGATGTTTTCTAGATAGAATAATGAGAGGCATTCTGCTAATATACAAACAATGTGTCTGTGTCTGGATCTGTATTCCCATTGTTGCCAAATTTACTTATGTATGGTTTTATATATACTGGTTACTAATTTGTATCTATGCATTCTCTCCTGTTGATATAACGTGTGATATAACGCATTTCAACAATGACTAGCCACATGCATTTCTATATCATGCTGCTTTTAGTGGGACGGATTAGACAACGTTTATTTACCTTTTTATTTTTTTTTAGCAAAGCTTTCTTTTTTTTGTTTTTTTGCATCTCTGTGAAAACTTTAATGTAAGCGTTACCTCGTTGTTTGCTTATCATTATACAAGAAACGTATACACTAAATCGACTAATTTGAAAAAGTCACAATATATTGTACTGGTATACGAGTTAAGGAGTAGACGTTCTTTTCTTCCGTGTGAAAATATCGATTCGATTAAAAGCCATCAAAATGACAAATGGCTCATGTAAAAAACACACATTATGTGCAAACAAGCCTACTTTTAATGATAGCCCTGCGAGTGAAACTATTGATAACGATATACACAAAATAAGACGTTTACTTGTTATAAAAAGAGCTATCTACTCGAACCCTATATGCTGTCACGCGAACTGGTCAAGCTTAATCTTGATTCCAGAGTGGTCGAAATGCGACTCTTCACGCCAGGATCTTGATAGTGGACATGATCTACAACAAAAAAGGTGGCATGAATGATTAGTCACAGTATGTGTAGCACTGGACACTAACGCGACACGCACGAAGTATTTTAATATCATAAAGCTTTCCATCAACACGTGAACTTTTGCCATGTAATATTTAAGTAACATGACTCCCTATGTAAGCTGGTGGGAAACACATCCTTGAGGTCCAACAATGGCATGTTTGAAGAATCCACATAAAGCCCAAGACATAAAGTAAATATGAGGTGAAGTTATTTCATTCTTTTTGCTTTACGTCCTCTAGGGCGTGTGATATTTCTCCAGGACAGAGGTAGGTATAGAGGTCTCGATTTTCTTGACGACCTTCATTTCACGGACTTCTAACGCCATTGACAAGATGTCATTTTGTCTTGGTTTCACCGCTGTCACGTGCATTTTATTACTTAAAAGATCCTTTAATTCTCCTGTGTGGATCGGCATTTGCAATTGCAATTTTATGAAAGCTGCGTCACGTTTTTTCTTAATGATAAAGTTGGTACAGTCTGAGAAGATATCTTGCCTGTAAACAATCCCATAAACGCCACTGGCACGCCGGTACGCTGGTACACCGAAGAACGAATTTTGATCTTCTCTCACAAATATGTAATAGGAGAAAAGTCCTCAACATCGATGTACAAATTTGATGTTGACTATCAAATATTGTCTCAGCCCCAACTTTAAAGGGGATGCGAGTGGGCGAAATTTCGTTTTCCAAACAGTCGCAAGCCTGCAGGGACCTTCACTGGGTCATGTTTTACATGTACGTGCAAATCAGTGTGAAAGCTACAGTTATTTCAGGTTCAACTTTTACAAAATCTATCATTGCAACTTACAATTTACGAGTTTATTTCTTACTTGACTAGAATTGATCAAAATGAACATAAGTTGGCAAGATAACAGGAGTTTTCTCATCTGCTTGCGTACCACGATGCACTGTTCGTGCTGCAATGTGCTTTAATAATTTAAGTTCTGAAGTGTCAAGAAATCATTTGAAAACCATTGAACTTCGAGATGAGAAACATATGTCTTTGAACCAAAGTTGCTCTGTATTCATATCAAAAGAAGAGTAATTATGTGACGAGTTTGACAAAGGCATTCACTTTCTCCTTTCGATTGTCACTTGAAGTGCGCTCGAACTGATTCATTCAAATTCCTCAGTTTGAATACCGGGGTCCTTTACATGAAGTGCTGAACAAGCACTCGCAATCTCGATACCAATAACAAACGGATTTGGTGCAACGAGTTCGTTTCTTAAATGACAAATCATAACCGTGTTTAAATGCACTCGGACTAACCGAACAATTCATATAACATTTTTAAATATTATACTCATGTCTTTACCTCAGAATGAAATGAAACACTAGCACATCATTGATTTGCTTCATATGTATATCCTTTGTAAGGGTAAATATGTTTTGCGGATTAAATTAGATGTTTTGCTAAGTCCCTTTCTAGTCTGTGGTGCGTTTCTAGGTTTTACTGAAGTACAAACTAAGCGTCATATTCTGATATTTTCCAACACCAGGTGTATGATTTTAACACCCCTAGATAACTGAGAAATGAGAAAGACAGATATGAGAATTTCTTAAGAGAAAGTAAAGCATACACTGTTAAAACTCTATCTCCCTTCCTCCATAACTCCACCCTCACCCC